TATATGCATACTCAGACTGGACTTGTGTCCTCTCCAAGTGGCTGGACTAGTAGTGCCGCCCTGGTCTTGTTCTTGCCTTGTCTCAACTCCGTCTGACGGGTCTTTTAGACCCTTGTCTCAGAGGTTGGACTAGTAGTGCCGCCCTGAGCTGCTTGTTCAGGTCATTCCCCTATGCAGTCTAGGGGGTGTGTCAAACATAAGCATAACTTATGTTTGTATAGACTGTATAGGGTCGCCTCTTAGAGGGTACAACACTCTTAGGTATATACCCTTGTACTCTCTCTCTCTAAGACATCACTTCAGTTCTAAGAGCCTTGTATTCCTTTACTATAAGCAATCACTTGTTCTCATATGCCAGTACAAGGGTTCAACTCAAGACTTCCGTTGTTGTAAGGAAATTCCCTTTTCCTTATTGGGCTCGACTATAGCGCGTACGCCCTCGACTCTCGGAAGTCCAGGCTCAGCCAACTTCTTCGGTCCCGAACCACTTTGCGAACCCAAAGCTCGACGCGCAGCGCTTCCGTGGCTTTCGCCAACCGAATCGCCCCAACATGTTCGCGTGGTTCTCAGCTAGCTCTGTTCGTGCCTATAAATGCCTAGGCCCTCATTTGTATCGACACTCTTGAATCACGATTCCTTTATTACACTACCTGTTATTACTCTGATTAATTTATAACAGCTGTACTATTAAGTTCTCTGTTACAAGTACTTGGCATTCTGAAAAGATCCAAGGGCTATTGTCAGCCCAACACCCTTTATTATAATCAATCACTTGTTCTCATGTACCAGTACAAGGGTTCAACTCAATACTTCCATTGTGCTATCAAGCTCTCTGTTACGAGGACTTAGCCTTCTGATAAGGTTTTAGGGATATTCTCAGCCCAACACATATGATGGCCATATTTCATTTCGATTTCTTGCACATGTCGACTATATTTCTTGCCAGGTTTATCTAAAAAAGGGGCATGCGTGAATCTATTTTAATGGTCGATGAAAGGCAATCGAAACAAAAGGGTGTCAAAAATCAGGGTAAGTCATGTTATTGATAGTCATTATTGATAGTGGGAGGTAATAGTTTCATCGTAGTATGGACATTCATACTATGTGCCAGCTTCCGTATTGTTTGTTTCAAAGCGCCTAAATTCTTTTTTGGGACAGCAGCCTGACTGTCGAACAGCTGGGGGCAGCATGCTGCTCATAGCCTGTCCTTGAAAAACCACCCTTGAGCCACCGATTTGCGAAGCTGTGGCGACTCGATATTCTTGAGAGGGCCTGGAACCACCCTTCCTCAGGCTGGAATGAGTTGGGGAGGGGAGAGCGAACTTGCTGGAGCGTCTGTGGGCGAGGAGGTGAACCATGTCGCCAGCGTGTTTGCGATCACAGACCAAGTCGTCTATTGGCAAGATGTCTCCTCGCGCTACCGATTTGCGAAACCATTGCGACACAAACTGACATTCTCGATCTGTTCTTTAGATGGCTTCCTGCCCATACATACCCATCGCCAACAGGCAGTTCTGGTAAGTACGGATTCACGATCTCATGCAACTGCACACCCACCTCAGGGTGCCTGAGTCAGGAATGATCATCATGCCCCCCCACAACCCAGATTTTCCAACCCAAGCTGGCGGGGTGGTGCGAACTGACAAAATACAATGGGACTGCCACGACAAGTTTTACTGTGCGACAGCTCATTCGCCACAGCGCCACACCTTGAGGCATACAACCTGTGCCCGAAAGAGACCCGCCATCTTTCCGAACCGCCTGGGCTTTTGTCGAATAGGTATTTCGCCAGCGTTCGCCCCTAGCGGCGAGATTTCTGTTGAGCACACTGGTAACATTTTTGGCGGATGTGGAGAGTAGGTTTGACTGGCAGGGTTTGGTTTACACTCATAGCGTATGTTACTTGTTTGAACAGTGTACCATTCAGACGGATTGCAACTCTCCCTTGTATATCTTCAATGAACTCGCAACAAACAATGCACATGCCGTACACCATGCACCACGGAAGATCAAACAACCTCACCACATCAGGGTAACCATATCAGACGGATAATGCCGACACCAACATGTCACACATTGCGCCACATCATCAGTTCAATTGCATGAATTCCACTACCATAGATATTGCCATAATTTATCTTCCCAACCACAACTCCTCACGATTCACGCCGGTTGACGACACCTTACAGTGACGACACCTTTCCGAATAACATAAAGTTTCTTGGTCGAGTGTAACGGTGAATGACGAAAAACTCATTAGGGCACGGTTCCTGTAGTTCAGTCGGTGGTATTCAGTTCGTTTTGAAATGATAGGTTCAGGTGTCAGGTTTTCTCCGACGCGCATATGATTATCCAGATGTTCGCCAACACCCCCATATTGTAACACGCCATAAAAGCACAAATACGCGCATCGCCAGATCGATGCGCTCTGACCAAAGTGAACCTCGAATCTTGTTACACGCATTTTGTAAGCTCTCGCGAAATTCGTTACGCTACGAAACAAAAACATCACACCTTTTGATATGCGTAGTGACTGTAATGCTATACAGTCGCTTGCATGAGAAAACCACATTCGACAGGGCTTGCTCTCTCTACGACATTACAAGCCTAGCCCAAACTTGGGGTACATATCATACTCGGCTAGTGCAATGACTCCTATGACGAACATTTGCATATGACAACTATTTGATAAGAGCAACTGCCAAGTACGCAACATGCACGATATTCCACCATCATATATGCGTATACAATAAACGTCGCAACTTGAAGCATTCACATAAATATTGTCAAGACTGCATATCATCTGTCGACGATCTCCACGACACACTCATGCCCCAACCATTAATGCATAATTGATCCACATAATGACGATGACTAATCCAGGAATAAATCGAAGGAAGACAACTTATTCCATTTGTTGTTTCCAAACCAGACAGGCTCGGAGCCGAAGCTGGAACTATACGCGAATCTGCACACCCCCCTAACCTGAAATTCGACGAAGCATTGCTCAGAGGGGCGTTGTAACGCGCAGCCTGTTCCACAGATTGCGTCGGGCTCGACCTCGCGTCAGAATCGTAACAAACCTATCGGCACCGCATCGAGTTCAGACAGATATTTTGTGCAGTGCGCGTAACTGCATGATTCAGACGCGATGTCATGTGTGGCTACGTTTTAGAAGTACTCCATAATTCCATTAAATGGTCTGCATTCCCCCCACCAATTTTTACATTTCAATGTGCTTCGCGACTCTAGCGATTGGATATTGGCCAATCATAGCCGCATATACTTTCGCAAGTACCTGGTGTTTCTTATTTCTGATGTGTTGAGTGGTTTCCGTTCTGGGGTTTGCAACCCACCCATGTAGCGTCGCACAAACGTGTGCGAAAATGCCTGCGACTTCCCGTCGCAGCATACGACAGGGGCACCGACCATGTACAGTACACTACAGTCAGCGACGCAACTCACTAAGTGCAAAAACGCCTGCGTCGCACAGCCCCCCTCGAACAGAGCAAATTCCGATCATCTGGGAGCATGCTCTGTTCGAGTCTGGCTTGTAGTTGGAACCAAATATGCGACTCTAACATGTGCCTTTAAAATGAATATGTGGGTGTATCAACTGGGTAAAGACGTGGAAAATGCGTCCGTTTAGGGAGATCGTGGACTGTAGATCGAATTCCTATATTTTGTCGCGGATCGCTCGCCTAGCAAAGGATCGAACCTGTAGATTAGGAATGCTGCGAAACAAGACCACTTTCCAGAAAAACGACACGAGATCTTGGGGATCGAAATTACCACCAACCATTTTTGCGACGAAATTGTTTTCGTCAGAACCCAGCAATGTGTATGCTCGTGAATTCCTCGTAGCATTTTTCGTGACGAACATCTCGTCTCTGCGAATATTTCGCATGTGCACTGGACTTCGTGCGGTTTGATGGTCAAGCGATCCTGTAGGTCTTGCAGCTGAATCGAACGTTCGGTCGACTTTGTCAAATGATCGTCGCCCGTGAAGGCTTTCGATATTGACGTTCTGATCTGCAAAGGCATGGTGGGTAACCCTCTCTACAGTGCGAGGCTCGGTGAAACAATCTTTGAAACGGACGCATTTTTTCCACGTCCTAAGGGGCACATCACCACCACATCATCCTCCGCAACTCTCCATCAGGGCTCTCGGTTCAAGGGTAAACATCCGGAATGTCAGGTACATTCCGGGTCTTTCCCGCTGAAATCCTGATTTTGAGGGTTTCGGAATCACAAACCTCCTGACAGATTCCGGGCGTTTCCCAGGAACTCTCTGAGAAATCCGGACTGCGTGAAAAATATCCTGACTATCCGACTGGAATGGAAACCTACCCGTGCCGGAATTGTAACCCTACCCTCCCCCCAGTACAGCCCTGACCAATTTTCCCCACAATCTGAAGGTGTGACCGTGGAGCTTTCACAACTACAGAAGTGCAGGGCTTTCAGACTATCACAACCCCTTAATATCACCTTAGCCCAGCTTCGCACTGTCCCTCATAAGTTCTACGCATTTCTGTCGCGATTGACAAGGAAAGTGTCGAACTTGGTGTGGTGCTGAGGGAAAGCAACAGCAGCAAGTGTGTACTCTGTATTCTTCTCCATCATTTCTTCCATGGATGTCCGTCCTGCTTGTACTCGAAGTGCCCGCAGGTTCCGCCTAAATGTAGGGAGTTCCAAAAAACACTCTGAAAATCAGATTGAAAGGTCAAAGTAATCCTGAAATAAAGAGAGATTTTCCTGGGAATGCTGAATTTTCAGGGTATTTAATGACGCGAATCCTGAGACCGCTGGGTCCTGGAAAACGAAAAATTAGCCCTGCTCTCCATGCACCCCCCTTGCAGGCATCAGGCCACTGCCGAAACAGTTAGATGCCGCATGGCTCTGATCAAGTTATGTAGCTGCTTGTCGTGTGGCCTCTCCACCCAGGATTCGCGCTGTGTTGACCTGCCTTGAGCAGCACCATTCAACAGATGCGTTGTCCAACCAGCTAGCTCCGGCATCGTTTGCGAACGCCTCGCCTCGCCTCTTCAAGCCGCGCCACGGCTCGCAAGTGGTCAGCGCCCTCACGACAGATGCTCTACTAACAGCCTAGAGTGGCGCTCGGAGAACATACGTGTACATAATCAGCCGAGGCATAGACGTCCAACAGAGCGCTCTAACTCACAATCAAGCAACTACTATGGAGACCACCGCCGTTGTTTCCAGGCAAAAGCGAGGTCGAGAGACGTTCCTAGAATGTGCAAGCCGCTTGAGCTTAGACGACATGCTGCGAGAGCAGCTTCAGAAGCTCCTCGCTGCCCGGCTCGCGCAGCAGCAACAGCGCATGCAGCTCGAAACATCCCAGATGATGCGGCAGTCACCACTGGCAGCAGAGCCGCCGCTCGCGATGCGGCCAGTCACTGGCCTGACCAAGAGGCAGAGGTTAGACGCGTATTTGTCGTCCTTCGTCGTGCCAACTCCAGATTCATCGCCCACGAAGCAGTCCGCTCCCGCGGATCACTGTACCCTCGCCAGCGCTCAAGACCGTTACTACTGCGCCGGCCCGCCGTTGGTCGGCGCCTGCAGCCCGCGCGAGTCAGTTTCCATCGCGCCGCCGCCCGCTCCCGTTCTCGACGTTGCCGATATCAACACGCTCGTGCGACGGTCGTCGTCGTCGCTGCTCGCCTCGGAAGGGAGCCTCACGGACGCGGCGAACATGGCGATGGGGTTACCACAGTGGCGACGATCGCCGACCTCCGGGGATCCGTCGTCAAGTGCTCCTTCGTGCAACGTCGACGTGCGATGGCAGGGAAACCACACGCCGCCGTTTGCTGGGCTCCTGGAGCAGCTGCGCATGCAGCAGCAGCAGCAGTCGATGCAGCAGACGCAACACGTGCCACGTGGGGATGAGCGCGGCTTGCTGTCGCAGCAGAACCAGCAGTCGCTGGGGGCTTACAACAGCAACAGCCACGGCGTCGTCGCATTTGTCGCACGGCAGTCGCCCGTCGTGGTTGAGTCACAGCAGCTGCTTAGGTCGCACATCGAGGCGGTGGTGCACTCCAAGGTGCAGTCGGCCGTGGACGAAGCGTCTGCAAGCAGGCGAACCATCGCAGCTCTCGAGGCGAAAGTTGCCATCCTATCAAACGAGCTCGTCCAGTCGCAGCGGAAGCTCGCGGCTTCACGTTCGCAGAGTGCAGCCCTAGAGGCGAGTCTCGCGAGGTCGCAGTTGGCCTTGGTGCAGGCGACGATTAGGGAGGGCTATGGCGACAGTGACGAGGCGAGTAACGGGAGTGGTCCTGACCAGCCATGCTGCTCGTCGTGCCATTAGCCAGCAGTGCAAGGGCCCTTCGGATTAGAACTATCATTTGGCATTCACAACTTCTGTTGTACATTCCTCCTACTTACAGTTACATTTTATAAAGAACTACAGTCTAGTGGTTCATTGCCGCGGCCACGTGAAGGTAGGGGCTTCTCTTATCGCGGACATCCTCCTACACCCTCGCCGTTCCAATCTCGGAGATCACCTCGACGGGCCTCGCGCTCGCGTGAGCGGCGGGCAGGAACCCCTCCTCGCTGCACCCGCCGCCGTCGAACTGACTCGCGCATTTCACCCCTTGACCAACGGGATCCACCGACGTCAGCACCGACCCTCCCAGCGACGTCACGAACGGCACCCCCGCGCCGCTCAGCGTGGCCAGCGCCGCGCCCGTGCCCCCTGCGAGCGCTCCAATCCCGCCATACCCGCCACCGGTCCCGCCCACGGCTGTGATGGTGTTGGTGGCTGACGTGGACCCGAACTGGTATGTGGGCGTGATGCCGTTCGTCGTCGCCGTCTGTGCCTGCGTGTTCGTCTGGTACGCCGTCGCACCTCGCCGCTGGTACTGAGAGTACGGCGTCGCGATGACGCCCGGGGTTCCTGGCCCCGTTTTCGTGGCGTCCGCGGTCTGGTCGTTGACGGTGTTCTGGTTGTTGATGCTGCCCACGTTGCCGCTCTGCGCGTACGCGCCCATGCCCGCGTTGGGCCCCACCTGCTTGCGACTGCTGCCGCCGCTGCTGTCAAGCACGCGTGTGTCAACTTGGAGGGTCGTTCGTACCCGCCATGTTCCTGCACATATGATGTGGAAGGGAAGAGTTAGTGCTGTAACCACGGACGTTGCTCTCACACAGAATCGCGCAGTGATACGCGAGCGTGGCGCCAATGTGTGCTTCATGATGTCATGAAAAGCGCCACGAAAAGCAGTCGTCCGCCAAGCAGTCTCTCACGTTGTGCTTTGCTGGGGATTGCGAAGGACTGCGCGGCCGTGTTGAACTGCGATTGCGCGTTTCTAGAAAGGTCCAGGTTACCCGAGTTGCCTCGTTCGCCGTTTCTCACGAGCCCCAGCGCCGCTGCTGTCGAAAACATCTCCGCCTGCATCTCGCGCAGCAGCGCGGGGGCGGCGCCAGGGAGATAACTCCAGAAGTTAGCGACCTGCTTTCTGTGTCACGGATAACAGGGTGATATGTTGAAAACGTTGCTGATCATGGATATTTTCAGGCAGATTGAAATTTCAGGATGTATCTTGTTTTTCAAGAGCGACGTCTTTGTTTCTCGTAATAGAAAAACGTACCTTGAAATAGGGTATAAGATGATGCGTGGTGCCTTGACGCTTGACAAGGATCGCCATTGCGAGCACAGATTTCCAGTAGTGACTGCAGCAGTTCGCGATGGCCAAGGCCTAGCGGCATCAGCACAATCCGCCGCGGAGGTTGCGCCTGCCAGTGCAGACAGGAGCCATAGCATGCGCATCCTCACGAAACAGCTCGTCATGCTTGAACCCTACTTCTCTTTTTAGACCTAGGCTACTTTTGACAGAGCCCCTGACGAGAATATATAACTCCAGGACAGCTTAGCAGACAGAAACTCGCAGCACAAACACTTCATGAGGGGTTGCTCTCGCCCTGCTGCTCGAATATCGAAATGTGCTCCCATTCTGGAAATTGACGAACCGCCAGCTCGTGCGGTTCGAGGAGCCCTCGAGTATTTGTGCCAAATTCCTTCGAAATCGATAACATCGCTTTAGTAACATTGAATCCCCCTGGACAGTGTTAGCTTCAAACAATTCACTTCTCTCACTATGTTTCTCATGAAATCTAGTTACGGTGCAACTCGTACTCACTGTTTTGGTAGGCTAGGTTCGGTGTTCAGATGTTAGACACGACTCTGCTATTGCATTTCTTGATTTTTCGGATTCAGCAACGCACTTCAAGTAAAGAAATCAGACTGCAAGAGCTGAGGTGAGAGTGGAAGCGAAATTCTGAGCCATGGTCTGTGCTGCAAATTGCTGGATCTGCTTCTTGGCATCTGCACATGCACACGCATATACACATGCACATGCGTATTGAACATGCATATACACATTCACACGTACATACAAACAGACACATATATGCATGTAAACATCCTCAAACACATGCACGCACAGATGCACATGCACATTTGACATGCACACGCACGTTCGACATGCGTGTGCCCACACACATGCCCCAGCCAGCGAGGTGGATAGGCATGGGATGGAACCATATCCGAAACTCAAGATGCGCGCAGCGTGGTACCACGTGACAAACGTGAGGAGAATGCACGTGTGGTTGTGATTGTATGCACCAGACACATCCACATGTGACAACAACCACCCCTCTCTTGCCCTCAGCATCACCCATTCCCCTCTATACCCCACCTCTGTTGGCCCGTAACAACCTTCCTCACCCCATCTGCGGACCCCCTGATGCTACAGAAATCTGCATGCATTCAGCAAGCAGGGTGGGGGACGATCAGCTTTGTGGCAGGTTGTAAAGGAAGGGTGGGCAGTTACCTCGGCGGCACTTGGTGTAACCGTAGATGTTGGCTGCTCCGAGCACGACGGCGACGATGACAATGAGGAGATAGTCAAAGCTCAGGCGGATGAGCTGAATGAGCCCGAAGCCCAGCCACACCGCTGGCTGCGCACATGCAAGCCGCCAGAGCACACACGCATACACTCAGTCACATGATTGTATGCAGCGCCACACATGCAGACATATGCGTGGACGCGCAAACAACCATGAATGCATGCACACATTAGCACACACATTAGCACACATTAGCACACACATTAGCACACACATCCACACATCCAGAAAAGCATGCACTAATGGACTCACACGGGGAAGGGTCAGCACGATAATACAAGAAAACGTGAGGTATATTCACAGTCATGGTTTGAAGAAGAAGTGCAGTGGCATACAGGCTGTTATCCCGTTACCATACCGTGGCATAGAGTGTCCACCAGAAGACCCACGCGTCAGTCTTGCTTAGCTGGTCCAACGACTGCAGCGAGGAGAGGGAGATAGCGAGGAGAGGGGGGAGAGAGTGAGGATAGAGAAAGATGGAGCGGGGGAAGAGAGTGCGTGAGCGGAGAAGAGGAGCAGAGACAACAGAGGAATGCAGGAGCAGGATCAGACGTGCCAAAAAGAGTATGCAGGGAGAGAACAGAATAGCAGATTGTGAGTTCGAGTGATCGAGAAAGCATGTGGCAATAAGAGGAGGGTGCAGCAGTGGTGCTTGTAAATGTCCCACCATATTCGCAACGTCCTCAACCGTGCCGCACCACCCATCCACCACACCCCTTCCCACCCCCATCACCTCCCACTCACCACGTGGTCGAGCGACACATAGTGCAGCCTGCAAACAAATATCCCTGGTTTCGGATTCGCACTCGGTATTCGACAAATATCAAATACAAAACGAATCTGACATCCTGAAGCTATTCGGCAGTATCCGACTCTCAACTATTCGCAAGTTCCGAATATTCGACACTCAAAAATTCGATATTCGGGAAAATATTCGTATTCGTGTGAGCCTACTATACATCTCCCCGACTCCCCTTTCCTCTCAAAATCGGCAGCGCAGTATAAGCGAAATCGGTAAAATCTGAAGGTCGCGCAATTGGCTGATTGCGGCCTCCATAAAACCAATCAATCGTGGAAAAAAACGAAAAACATGATTCTTGAGTGTGACATGTTGTTCCATAAATAACCTGCCAGAATCACAGCTACTTCGACAATATGCCAGGAGTGGAAGTGATTGGGGAGGGGGGTAATAGACTATCAAGGTTAGAGGGGCTATTTCTATCTCAGTCTTCGGTGAAAAGCCCTAGAAGACACCCGGAACCCTGTTCTGACCACCTATTCGTATTCGATTCTGTATTCGTCGTAAAACCGAATATTCAAACCGTATTTGTATTCAAATAGGAAGTGGTATTCGATCACATACGAAAACACACAACTATTCGACAAATACTATTTTTTTCCTGCCGTATTCGATACCGTATTAGTTTTTGCAGGCCTCCCAAGCCTTAAGACCAGGCGACCGAGAAAGTGGGAGTGGCACTGTGAGGTGCGGACAGCATGCAGTTGAGATCTCAGCATGACCCACCACCCCCCACCAACCACCACCTCCCACCAACCCCCACCACCTGCCACCAATCCCCACTCACCGCCTCACCGCCTGGTCCAGCCACTCACCGCCTGGTCCAGCGACTCGAAGTGCCAGAGCGTCTTGCCTGCCTCATCGGTCTCATTCCACCAGTGCAGCCCCACGAGGATGCGGCCGCTCAATCGGTCGAGGCACTCACCATGCATCCACCCACCCTACCACCTCACCCCCACCCTTGGCCGAGCAACTCACCGCCTGGTCCAGCGACTCAAAGTGCCAGAGCGTCTCGCCCTGCTCGTCCGTCTCGTTCCACCAGCGCAGCCCCACGAGGATGCGGCCGCTCACGTTCTTGACCACCCAGAAGTCCAGCGCGATCAGCAGCACGCACACCACGAAGTCGATCACGAAGCTGCTCGTTACCCAGCTGCCCAGCAGGTAGAAGCCGAGTGCCGCTGCCTGCGTGTCGAAGGGAAATGGGGGGAGGGGGGGTTGGGGTTCATATGTGACAGCGGGAGAGGGGAAGGTTAGGTTGCAGACGTGGAGGAGAGGGGGGTAGGGGGTTGGGCGGATGGGAAAGGTGAGGCACACGCGGCAGGGAGGAGGAGCCGGAGAGGGTGGGTGGGTCACATGCAGTGGGGGGGAGTGGACAGTTGGCCGAGAGGGAGAGGGTCACATGAGAGGCAGGGGGACAGAGGTGGTGAAGTGAAGGCAAGGGGACAGAGGTGGTGAAGTGAAGGCAGGGGGACAGAGGTGGTGAAGTGAAGGCAGGGGGACAGAGGTGGTGAAGTGAAGGCAGGGGGACAGAGGTGGTGAAGTGAAGGCAGGGGGACAGAGGTGGTTGCGAGGAGGCGACGATGTGAGAGTGCGATGGTGAGGCATGTGACGTCAGCATCTGATATGCATGTGATGGCAGCATGTGATATGCATGTGATGTGAGCATGTGATATGCATGTGATGTCAGCATCTGATATGCATGTGATGTGAGCATGTGATATGCATGTGATGTGAGCATGTGATATGCATGTGATGTGAGCATGTGATATGCATGTGATGTCAGCATCTGATATGCATGTGATGTGAGCATGTGATGTGAGCATGTGATATGCATGTGATGGCAGCATGTGATATGCATGTGATGTGAGCATGTGATATGCATGTGATGTGAGCATGTGATATGCATGTGATGTGAGCATGTGATATGCATGTGATGTGAGCATGTGATATGCATGTGATGTGAGCATGTGATATGCATGTGATGGCAGCATGTGATATGCATGTGATGTGAGCATGTGATATGCATGTGATGTGAGCATGTGATATGCATGTGATGTGAGCATGTGATATGCATGTGATGTGAGCATGTGATATGCATGTGATGTGAGCATGTGATATGCATGTGATGTGAGCATGTGATATGCATGTGATGTGAGAAGGTCACCTTGAAGAAGCAGGTGAAGAAGACCACCTGCGGGTGGGCGTACTTGACAGCACCTGCCTGCACACACACACATGCACACGCACGCGCACACGCACGCGCACACACACACACCCACACACACACACACACGCACACGCACCCACACACACACGAATCCAACCCCCCACACAAGCGTTCACATCTTGTTTTCTAAGATCCTGCACCTTCTTCTCCCAGAGCTGTCAGCTCACTTACAAGTCCTTCCTGAGCACACCAACACTCACACTCACACTCACACTCACATCACTCATGGTCGCTCACTCACACCATCCCCATCAACCCCCTTCTTCCCACCTATCCCCAACCCACTCATCCCTACCCCATCTGCCCGATGCGACATTTTAAAGGCCCAAACAGCCACCCAGCAACATCTGGCCCTGGTTGCTCACTTGTGGTTCCATACTGGGTGCGCCCCTTCACCTCCCACCTCTAACAGCCTCCTGCAACGACCCGTGCACCGCCCTCCGCGTTGGAGGGAGGGTGGTGAGAGGGGAGAGAGGGTGAGGAAGAAGGGAGGGGGAAGTTAAAGGAGCCAGATTCTGTGCCGTTGGGGAAAGGGACCACATGGGGGAGCACGGGGAAGGCGCACACGTTTGCGTGGGGCGCGTGGGAACGAGGAGATTGCAGCTCGTTCCTACCCTTGTCCCCCCTGGGGCACTCGTAAGGAGCTCCGCCCGCCCACGTGTGCTGCTGCAGGCGGAACAATCAGTCCGCCAGGTGAACGCGGCATAGGGGGGAGCAGAACGAGTTTTTGGTAATTTTGAGTGATACGAGTTTTTTCGTGCAATTCTCTTGCTTGGATCTCTAACTCTTGTTCTTACTTGCTCAAGCGAACCACTTAGCACTGCTGCCCTTCCTACCATGAGTGACGACGAGAGGTGGGGCATGGAAGGCGCAGCAGGGGGGAAGGGGAGGTGAGGCATGGGAGAGATATCAGGAGGATGACGAAGAGACGGGCAGGGGGGAAGGGGAGGAGAGCAGCAGGTGGAGAGCAGCAGGTGGAGAGCAGCGGTGGAGAGCAGCAGGATCAGGCAAGATCCGAAGTGCGGGAAATAGGGCAGGGGAGAGAGGGGAGGGGAGAGGGGGGATGTGAGAGGGGGGGTGTGAAAGGGGGGATGTGACAGGGGGAAGTGAGAGGGGGAAGTGAGAGGGGGAAGTGAGAGGGGGAAGTGAGAGGGGGGAAGTGAGAGGGGGAAGTGAGAGGGGGAGGTGAGAGGGGGAGGTGAGAGGGGGAGATGAGAGGGGAAGGTGAGAGGGGGAAGTGAGAGGGGGAAGTGAGAGGGGGGAAGTGAGAGGGGGAAGTGAGAGGGGGAAGTGAGAGGGGGAAGTGAGAGGGGGAGGTGAGAGGGGGAGGTGAGAGGGGGAGGTGAGAGGGGGAGGTGAGAGGGGGAGGTGAGAGGGGGAGGTGAGAGGGGGAGGTGAGAGGGGGAAGTGAGATGGGGAGGTGAGAGGGGGAGGTGAGAGGGGGAACGGCCACTTTTCTTCGCCACGACGGCAGGTAACCAGGAACCGCACGCAGGCACGCACAGAGCCCCGTGATGTGAGGAACAGTGCCACGCCACCGTGCTGTCTCATGAGAGAGAGTGGCAGCGCGTCCGTGCGCCCTGGGTGCCCATCGGTAGCTCGCACAGGGGCGTCCAGGGAAGGACAGGTGGACAGGCAGGGGAGGGATGAGGGGGGGTGAAGGCGGAAGGTGTGTGCTGGGCGGGACTGGGGGGAACGGGACGGGGGGAAACGGGACGGGGGGAAACGGGACGGGCGGAAACGGGACGGGGGGAAACGGGACGGGGGGAAATGGGACGGGGAGAAGGGGATGGAGGGAAGGGGACGGGGGGAAGGGGAAAAGAGCGGCAGGGAGGGAGATGTGCAGATGGAGGGGAGGAGAGCGGAATGTGGGAGGGTAGGAAGGGAGGGGCACAGATGGACGAGGCGATGGGCGCAGGAGCGGCGCAGGAGGAGGGAAGGGAGTGGGTCGACTGAGATGGGCGAGAACGAGAGGCGGGGAGGCTGAGAGGGGCGGGGGGGCGGGGAGAGGCGGGGGGGCAGAGAAGCGAGAGGGCGGAGGGGCGAGGAGGCGGAGAGAGGCGGAGGGGGGAGAGAGGCGGAGGGGGGAGAGAGGCGGAGGGGGCGGAGAGGACATACAGGCTGAGTCGAATCGCTCGAGCTGTGCCGGCTTTCGAGACGGCTGAGGAATCACGCGGTGCGAGGAGCGCGCGGTCAAGTGTGCGGCGCGCTTTGGAGAGCGACAGCAGACGGGAGTGACGGGCAAGGTCGCGGGCGAAGCGGTGCGGCGGCAAAGAGACGCAAATTCGCTATCGTCGGCTGACGTGGGTGACTGAATTTGGTAGCCTGCACGTAGATCTGAGGCGTGGCAAGCTGAACAAATTTGTTACACCTATTTGTAACCTGCGCTTCTCGTTGTTACGAATTAATCAGAGTAATAACATGTAGTGTAATAAAGGAGTCGTGATTCAAGAGTGTCGAATACAAATGAGGGCCTAGGCATTTATAAGCACGAACAGAGCTAGCCGAGAACCACGCGAACAGGTTGGGGCGATTCGGTTGGCGAAAGCCACGGAAGCGCTGCGCATCGAGGTTTGGGTTCGCGAAGTGGTTCGGGACCGAAGAAGTTGGCTGAGCCTGGACTTCCGAGAGTCGAGGGCGTACGCGCTGTAGTCGAACCCAGTAAGGAAAAGGGAATTTCCTTACACCACCCTCCCTTCCGGGATAAGACTACCCACATCCGGGACACGTTGTCGGTGTAAATAGTCCTGGACGACTTTGTGTTCGCCGAGCATAGCTGCGGGGACTCAAAGATCGTCGTCAGTCATGCGATCGACCCATCGTACAAGGAAATCAACGGCTGTCGTATCTCGATGGCCTCGTACGCGATGAGCGAGAATCTTCGATGGCTCGATTGTCGGTTCAGGTACTGGGTTGACCGTATGATTGATGTGTTGACGGTCGAGATTAGTTGTACTCGGGACGAACGGTCGCAGGAGACTGACGTGAAATGAATCATGAATTCGCCAGTCGACCGGCAATTACAGCTGGGCGGTGACGGGTGTCACCATGTGGATGATGCGGAATGGGCCGCAAAATCTTGGTCGCATTTTATTTGGGAGGGGAATTCCCAAATTTATGGTGTCGAGCACGACCAATTGCCCAGGGGTAAGAGTTAAGTCTCGGCGTCGTCGGTCAGCTTGCTGCTTAGCCCGTTGGTTGGCTTTGAGGATGGCATCGACGGCTTTTTGCTGAGACTGTCGGAGATTTTCGACGAACTGCTGCGACCTTGGTGCCGGATTTTCTATCGGTGGCGATAGAGGGGTTGTCGGGTCTATCCCGTAATTGAGGAAGAACGGGGACTGAGTAGTCGTGGCTGATGGGGTGTTGTTGTACGCAAAATCGATCAAAGGAAGGGAGTCTTCCCATTGGGCTATGTCTATGCACGTCGTGCGAATCAGCTGCTCCATCGTCTGATTGGTGCGCTCAATCTGGCCGTCTGATTGCGGGTGGTACGCAGTGGACAGATGCAGACGTGTGCCGTACTGCTGCCAGGTTTTTGTCCAGAAGTTGGACGTGAACCGAGGGTCGCGATCGCTGATGATTGCCGAAGGAATGCCGGGTAGCCGCATGATGTTCGTGAGTAACAGTTTCGTTGTCTGCTCGGCAGTGATTGTCGTCTTGCAGGCGGCGAAGTGGGCCATCTTGGTCAACCGGTCAACGACGACGAGAATCGCGTTGTTACTGCTTGAACCAGTTGGCAGGCCAGTGACAAAATCCATCATCATTTGTTGCCAGGATCGGCTGGGTGGCTCGAGCGGCTGCAGCAATCCCGCAGGTCGAAGGCGTGAAGACTTCATGCATTGACACGCGGCGCAGGAGGTGACGTACTGCTGCACGTCTGTCGGCAAATATGGCCAGTAATAATTACGGCTCTGTAATTTGGCAGTTTTGTCGATGCCGTAGTGACTTGAGAAATTCGAGTCGTGTGCCTCCTGTATCAGTAGCTCTTGTAGGGTACAGTAGGCAGGAACTCAAATCCGATTGGTACCGGATTTTAGGTAATAATCCCCTTGCCTGACCGCTAGGTGGGGATGACTGTTAGTGGTGAAGAATGGATCAGTACTGTATCTGTGGGTGAACAGGCCAGTTAGCAGCGAATTAGCTTGGGTAATTAGAACTACGGCAGTATGGACTGAAGGGCGGGTCAGTGTGTCGGCGAATGTTGCTAACCCTCCGTTTGTAGGTGACTCTGTAGTGGAAGTTTGACTCGAGATAACCGAGCCTGCGAATCTGTCGGGGATTCAGTTTCGGTTGGTCGCGGATGAACTGTAGCGATTTGTGGTCTGTTCGGACTGTCACGTCAACGTCCGTCAGGTAGCAGCGCCAGAGTTTGAAAGTGTGAACGATGGTGAGTAACTCATTGTCGTGGACCAGATTATTTCGCTCGGCTGGGTTCAGCTTTCGTGACTCGTAGGCGATGGGTTGAAGGCCTTCGCCGAAGTCTTGTAAAAATAATGCGCCAATAGCTAGGTCCCTAGGTCGGTGATGAGCTCGAACGGACGGCGAGGATCTGCAATTCGAAGAACCGGAGGTGTAGTCAGGAAAAGTTTGAGCTGTTCGAACGCAGCCTGCTGCTCTCCCCCCCACTCATAAAACTTGCCTTTCTTCAGGAGATCCGTGAGAGGGGAAGTTACCCCCGCCATGTTCGGAATGAACCGGCGAACGTAATTTACAAACCCCAGAAAACTTTGAAGTTCTCGGAGATTAGCCGTCGGCTTCCAGTCTTGGACGGTTGCAATCTTCTTAGGGTCGATTTTAACACCATCGATGGAAATAACGTGTCCCCGAAACTCCAGTTCTTGTTTCAGAAACTCGCACTTAGATCCCTTGGTGATGAGTCGGTGCTGCTGCAGGAGAGAGAAAACCGCTTCCAAATCCTTCAAATGCTGCTCCTGGGTAGTGCTGAAGATCAGGATGTCGTTGAGGTACAGAATGACGCATTTATCCAGCAGCGGCCGAAAAACCTCGTTCATCGTTAACTGGAACGTCCAAGGCGCGTTTGTCAAGCCAAATGGCATAACCATGTACCTGTAACTCCCGTACCAGGTCCGAAATGCCGGCTTGTAGCAATCAACTTCGTTCACGAGGATCTGATGGTAACCGCCATGCAGGTCAATTTTCGAAAAGAACTTGGCTCCACGAAGTTGGTCGATGAGTTCGTCGGCACACGGGATAGGATAGCGGGACTTGATGGTAACCCGATTCAAGGTGCAGTAGTCATTGCACATTCGTAGACCGCCATCTTTCTTCGGGGTGAACAGGATCGGAGTTGCGAACGGTGAAGTGCTGGGGCGAACGAAACCTTTCTCGAGTAGGTAGTCCAGCTGGCGTCGAAGTTCATCCAGCTCTGGATGAGTCAGCCTCCATTGAGTCCGAACAGTCGGTTGCGCGCCGGGGTCCAACTCGGTTTTGTGGTCATGGTCTCGCTTAGGTGGCAAACCCGCCGGTAGGTCGTATGGAAAAATGTCAGTGTGCTTGCGAATCAACGTTGCCAAATCGTTCGAGACAGCTGCGCACAGTTTGTCGATGTCGGCTGGTGTGTCGACAGCCGTTGATGCAATCCATCGGACGGCGTACAATTGCGCCCCTCGAATCATAGCTCGCTTGATCGTTACTGCACTGACCGCCGATGTCGTCGAATCTTCACAGCTCCACTTGGGTAGTCGTCGCCACTCACCACTCGATTTGATGCGACAGTCGCCCGTCCGCCAGTCAATGCTCGGGTTGTATTCGCACAGCCAATTGCGTCCAAGCAGCATATCGCAGCCGTTCAAAGTTGTCGCCAGCATCTTCGTCGTGAAGCTGAAATTTTTGCCGCTTGTTACTCGCACGTGAGGTACTCGCTCCCGAATTGCCAGTGGTGTGCCATCGACCAATCTCGCGTCAATTTCCGCCATGCAGCGCTCCAGTTGCAGTCACATTTTTTTCGCCTTCGTCACATCCATCAAACTGTGGCTCGCCCCGCCATCAACGAATATTTTGATGCGGGTGTCGCCAACTCTCCCTTCAACCAGCACAGGGTGATCAACCGGTTCACCCCCCTTATTCAGCCAGGAATGGTCGATAGCCCAAATCGGCACTATAACCTGGTGGGGGTGGAGGCGTTTGGGCGACGCAGTCAAGTCAGTAGGTGGCCCATCAGCTACTGACGATCTCCATTTCCCGACTGCTTCTTGTCGTTAGGTAAGTTCTTCTTTAGCTGCGGGCAGTCCCTCACCATGTGACCCGGCTGGTTGCAGTGGAAGCAGTTCCCCGAAAAAACTCGGGCTGCAAACACGTCCACGCCGTTGATTGATGTGTGTTGGGGCTGGCCTCGAAAGCGATTTCCCTCTCGAAAACTCGCTCTCGCAAGTCCACATCATGTGTCCAGCGCGTCTGCTATGCAAACGATCTCGTTGAAGGTCGTCGGGGCTCGCAGGAAGATTTCTTGCTGAATCTCCGGCTTGAGTCCACCCACGTAGCGATCGATTTTCTCGTCCTCGCTGATCCCTTCGATTTGGTCGCAGATTGCCAGAAACGACGCCGTGTATTCTTGGACAGGGCCCAACTGTCTCCACATCCGAAGCTTTGTGCGAGCATTTTCGCGCATGGATATGTGCTCGAATCTGCCCTTCAACGCTTCGCCCCACGCTTTCCAAGTGCGGATCGTGGCCGATCCAAAGATTGGTTCTGCCTTCGCCGTTGATGAACTCATCTCCCCATCTGCCGCCCATTGATTCCCTGCCGTGATTCCTCCCTCGTTGAGATGCATGAGCCCCCGGTCGAGTGCCGGTCCCCTCAGCAGCGACACAGCCAAGTTGACACGTGATGCATTGTCATTAATACTTGCTGCCGTGAAAAAGATTTCCATGGCTAACAACCACCAGCTCACTGTAATTGTCCTGTCGGTCGGGTTGAACGGTGGGGGCATCGGAGGCTTGATTTTAATGGCCGCCCGCGGCTCACTGTGGACTTCTTCAACTGCTTCAGGTGTCGCCGACGCCCTCGCTTCGCTCACATCATCTTTGTCTCAGGTAACAGGCCGCCCCTGACGCGTTTCACCCCTCTTCTGGCGAAGTGACGAGTTTTCGTTGTGCAGCGTCTGAACTTTGCTTCCCAGCGACTCGAACTTGTCAGCGAGTTATTGAAGCTGGGCCTGCAGTGTCGTCACTGTAGCCGCCTTGGCTTGCAACTCGTCAAACTCCTCCAGAGTCACATTCGTAACACTACGTCGGGCAGAGGTTTCCGGAGTGCTAGTCATGCTGGAAATTTTACCTGACAGATCTGAGGGTGCACACACTTTTAGTTGGAGGAGCTTTAACGAGCTCGCCTACCAACCGCTAGCCAACCCTCTATTCTATCGGGTCCTCTCCCGATATAATCGGACTACTCTACGGAAGACTAAGCGGGCAAGATCAAGGGCTCTGATACCAGCTGTTACGAATTAATCAGAGTAATAACATGTAGTGTAATAAAGGAGTTGTGATTCAAGAGTGTCGAATACAAATGAGGGCCTAAATGACCCGGGTCCACTCCCGAATAATAAGCACGAACAGAGCTAGCCGAGAACCACGCGAACATGTTGGGGCAATTTGGTTGCCGAAAGCCATGGAAGCACTGTGCGTCGAGGTTTGGGTTCGCGAAGTGGTTCGGGACTGAAGAAGTTGGCCGAGCCTGGACTTCCGAGAGTCGATGGCGTACGCGCTGTAGTCGAGCCCAGTAAGGAAAAGGGAATTTCCTTACACTCGTTGTAAGGAAATTCCTTTTCCTTACAGGAGTGGACCCGGCATAATAGAGGGTTGGCCTGCGGTTGGTAGGTGAGCTCGCTAAAGCTCCTCTAACTAGAAGCGTGTGCACCCTCAGATCTGTCAAGTAAAATTTCCAGCATGTCTATTACGTCGGAAACCTCTGCCCGTCATAGTGTTACGAACGTGACTCAAGAGGAGTTTGACGAGTAGCAAGCCAGAGCGGCTACAGTGACGACAGTACAGGCCCAGCTTCAACAACTCGCCGATAAGTTCGAGTTGCTGGGAAGCGAAGTACAGACGCTGCACAACGAAAACTCTTCGCTTCACCAGGCGCAGGGTAAAACGCGTCCTGGGCGGCCTGTTACTCGAGACGAAGATGCTGCGAGCGAAGCGAGGGCGTCGACGACACATGAAGCAGTTGAAGTAGTCCACAGCGAGCCCGGGCGGCCATGAAAATCAAACCTCCGATGCCACCGCCGTTCAACCCGACCGACAGGATGACGACAGTGAGCGGTTGGCTGTTCACCATGGAAATCTTCTTCACAGCAGCAAGTATTAATGATAACGCGTCACGTGTCAACTTGGCTGTGTCACTGCTGAGGGGACCGGCACTGGTGGTGCATGCATCTAGACGAGGGAGGAGCCCCAGCAGGGAATCAATGGGCAGTAGATGGGGAGCACGGTTCATCAACGGCTGAAGCAGAACCAATCTTTGGGTTGGCCATGATCTGCACATGGAAAGCGTGGGGCGAAGCATTGAAGAGCCGATTCGAGCACATATCCATGCGCGAAAACGCTCGCACAAGGCTTCGGATGTGGAGACAGTTGGGCTCTGTCTATGAATACACGGCTTCGTACTTGGCGCTATGCGATCAAATCGGAGGGCTTAGCGAAGACGAGAAGATCGATGGCTACGTGGGTGGTCTCAAGCCAGAGATTCAGCAAGAGATCGTCCTGCGAGCCCCGGCAACATTCAACAAAATTGTCCGAATCGCGGATGCGCTGGACGCAAGGCGTGGACTCGCGAGGGCGGATTTCCGGGAGGGAAATCACTTTCGAGGCCAGCCCCATTACACATCAATCAGCGGCGTGGACGTGTTTGCAGCCAGGTATTTTCCGGATGCTGTTTCCACTGCAACCAACCGGGCCACATGGCGAGGGACTGCCCGCAGCTGAAGAAGGACTTAGCTAACGATGGGAAGCAATCGGGAAATGGAGATCGTCAGTAGTCGATGGGCCACCTACTGACTTGGCTACGTCGCCCAAACGCCAACACCCCCACCAGTTTATAGTGCCGATTCGGGCTATCGATCATTCCCGGCTAAATAAGTGGGGTGAACCGGTTGATCGCCCTGTGCTGGTTGAAGGAAGAGTTGGCAACACCCGCATCAAAATATTTGTTGATGGTGGGGCAAGCCACAGTTTGATGGATGTGACAAAAGCGAAGAAACTCCGACTACAACTGGAACGCTGCATGCCCGAAATTGACGCGAGGTTGGTTGACGTCACCCCACTGGCAATTCGGGAGCGCGTGCCTCATGTGCGAATCACCTTTGGCGAAAAAATCATTTTCACGACGAAGATGCTGGCGACAACTTTGGACAGGTGCGACATGCTGCTGGGACGCGATTGGCTGCGCAAATACAACCCGAGCATCGACTGGCGGACGGGCGATTGTTGAATAAAGTGGGGTGGCGAGTGGCGACGGCTACCCAAGTGGAGCAGTCAAGGCTCGACAACATCAACGGTCAGCACAGTGACTATAAAGCGCGTGATGATCGAGGAGCGCAACTGTATGCCGTCTGATGGATCGCATCAACGGCTGTCGACACGCTGGCCGACATCGACAAACTCTGCGCAGCTGTCCTTGATGATTTGGCAACAGTGATTCGGAAGCACGCCGACATTTTTCTAGATGACCTACTGGCGGGCCTGCCACCTCAGCGGCTGCATGACCAAAAAATCGAGCTCGAACCCGGCGCGCAGCCTACTATTCGGACCCAATGGCGGCTGACTCAGCCCGAGTTCGATGAACTTCGATGCCAGCTGGACTACCTGCTCGAGAAAGGTTTCGCCCGCCCCAGCACATCACCATTTGCAGCTACAATCTTGTTCACCCCGAAGAAAGATGGTGGTCTGCGTACGTGTATCGATTACCGCACCTTGAATCGGGTTACCATAAAGTCTCGCTACCCAATCCCACGTGCCGACGACCTCATCGACCAACTTCGTGGGGCCAGATTTTTCTCGAAGATTGACCAGCGAGGCGGTTACCACCAACTTCGCGTGCACAACGCTGATTGCTACAAGACGGCGTTTCGAACCCGGCACGTGAGTTACAAGTACACGGTCATGCCATTTGGTTTGACAAATGCGTCTTCGACATTCCAGCTGACCATGAACGAGAATTTTTGGCCACTACTGGATAAGTGCGTCATCGTGTACCTCGACGACATCTTCGTCTACAGAACAACCTGGGAGCAGCATTTAAAGGATTTGGAAGCAGTTTTCTCTCTCCTGCCGCAGAACCGACTCATCACCAAGGGCTCTAAGTGCGAGTTTATGAAACAAAAACTGGAGTTCTTGGGTCACGTGATTTCCATCGACGGTGTTAAAATCGACCTCAAGAAAATCGCGACAATCTAAGACTGGAAGCCGCCGGCTAATCTACGTGAACTTCCGAGTTTTCTGGGGTTTGTTAATTTCGTCCGTTGTTTCATTCCGAACATGGTGGGGGTAACTTCCCCTCTTACGGATCTCATGAAGAAGGGCACGCTTTTTGAGTGGTAGGGAGAGCAGTAGGCTGTGTTCGAAAAGCTCAAACTTTTCCTGACTACACCGCCGGTTCTTCGGATTGCAGATCCTCACCATCCATGCGAGCTCATCACTGACGCTAGCAATCTAGCCGTTGGCGCAGTTCTGTTACAAGACTTCGGCGAAGGCCTATAACCAATCGCCTACGAGTTACGAAAGCTGAACCCGGCCGAGCGAAATTATCCTGTCCACGACAACGAGTTACTCGCCATCGTTCACGCCTTCAAAGTCTAGCGCTGCTACCTGACGGGCGCTGACGTAACCTGAGGGACACAAAGGGCACTTGGAGAGCGAGTGAGAGCTAGTGGAGCAGCTCAAACCCACAGAGCCGACCACAGAGACATTGAACACACCTAGAGAGCTTGTTAGCTTGTGATAGCTAGTGACAGCTGGTGACAGCTAGTGATAGCTAGCTACAGCATCTTAGACACCTAGAAAGAACCTGAGGAACATAAAGAACGCACGTGGAGAGCGAGTGACAGCTAGTGGAGCATCTCAAACCCACAGAGCCGACCTCAGAGATATAGAACGCACCTGGACAGTTTGTAACAGCTTGTGACAGTTAGTGACAGCTAGCGAGAGCGTCTCTGACACCTAGAACTAATCGAGGGACACAAAGAGCGCATGTGGAGAGCGATTGATAGCTAGTGGAGCAGCTCAAACCCACAAAGCCGACCTCAGAGACATTGAACGCACTTATGCGGCTTGTGACAGCTTGTGATGGCTAGTGACAGCTAGTGACACCATCTCTAACACCTAGAACTAACCTGCAGGACACAAAATGGGCACGTGGAGAGCAAGTGACAGCTAGTGGCGCAGCTCAAACCCATAGAGCCAACCTTAGAGACATAGAACGCACCTGGACAGCTTGTGACAGCTTGTGATGGCTAGCGACAGCTAGTGACGGCTTAGTGACGACATTTCTGACACCTAGAATTAACCTTAGGGACACAAAGAGCACACGTGGAGAGTGAGTGACAGCTTGTGACAGCTTGAGATGGCTAGTAACAGCTAGTGACAGCATCGCTGACACCTAGAACTAACGTGAGGGACACAAAGAGCAGACGTGGAGAGCGAGTGACAGGTAGTGGAGCAGCTCAAACCCACAGAGCCGACCTCAGAGATATTGAACGCAGCTAGACAGCTTGTGACAGCTTGTGACAGCTTGTGACAGCTAGTGACAGCTAGTGACAGCATCTCTGACGCCTAGAACTAACCTGAAAGACACAAAAAGCGCACGTGGAGAGCGAGTAACAGGTAGTGGAGCAGCTCAAACCCACAGAGCTTACCTCAGAGACATTGAATGCACCTGGACAGCTTGTGACAGGTAGTGACAATACCTCTGACACCTAGAGCTAACTTGAGAGATACAGAGTATGCACATGGACAACAAGTGACAGTTATTGGAGCTGCTCAAACCCACTGAGCCGACCTCAGAGTCATAGAACGCACCTGGACAGCTTGTAACAGCTTGTGACAGCTATTGACAGCTAGTGACAGCTAGTGACAGCATCTCTGACACCTAGAACTAACCTGAGGAACACAAAGAGCGCACGTGGAGAGCGAGTGATAGCTAGTGGAGCACCTCAAACCCACGGAGCCGACCTCAGAGACATAGAACGCACCTGGACAGCATGTGACAGCTAGTGACAGCTAGTGATAGCTGGTGCCAGCTAGTGAGAGCTTGTGACATCGTCTCTGATACCTAGAAATAACCCGAGGGACACAAAGAATGCACTTGGAGAGCGAGTGACAGCTAGTGGAGCAGCTCAAACCCACAAAGCCGACTTAGGAGACATTGAACGCACCTGGGCATCTTGTGACAGCTTGTGACAGCTAGTGACAGCTGGTGCCAGCTAGTGACAGCTAGTGACAGCATCTCTGATCCCTAGAACTAACCTGGGGGACACAAAGAGCGCACTTGGAGAGCGAGTGACAGCTAGTGGAGCAGCTCAAACGCACAGAGCCCACCTGGACAGCCTGGACAGCATGTGACAGCTTGTGACAGCTAGTGACAGCTGGTGTCAGCTAGCGACAGCTGGTGACAGCAAGCGACAGCTAGTGACAGCATCTCTGACACATAGAACGAGACTGAGGGACACCAAGAGCACATTTCGAGAGCGAGTGATACAGTAGGTAGTGGAGCCGCTCAAACTCACAGAGCCGACCTGTGTGACATTGAATGCACCTTGACAGCTTGTGACAGCTAATGACAGCTGGGGACAACTAGTGACAACATTTTTGACACCTAGAACTATCATGAGGGAAACAAAGAGCGCACGTGGAGAGCGAGTGAGAGCTATTGGAGCAGCTCAAACACACAGAGCCAACCTCAGAGACATTGAACGCACCTAGACAGATTCTGACAGCTTCTGAAAGCTTGTGACAGCTAGTGACAGCATCTCTAACACCTAGAACTAACATGAGGTACACAAAGAGCGCACCTTGACAGCAAGTGATAGCTAGTGGAGCAGCTCAAACACAGAGAGCCGACCTCAGAGACATTGAATGCACCTTGACAGCTTGTGAGAGCTTGTGACAGCTAGGGACAGCTAAGGAAAGCTAGTGACATCATCTTTGACACCTAAAGCTATCATGTGGGACACGGAGAGCGCACCTGGACAACAAGTGACAGCTAGTGGAGCAGCTCAATCCCACAGAGGTGACCTCAGAGACATAGAACACACCTGGACAGCTTGTGACAGCTTGTGACACCTAGTGACAGCATCTCTGAAACCTAGAGCTAACGTGAGAGACATAGAGAGCGCACTTGTACAACAAGTGACAGCTAGTGGAGAAGCTCAAACCCATAGAGCTGATCTCAGAGACATAGAACGTACCTGGACAGCTGATGACAGCTTGTGATGGCTAGTAATAGCTAGTGATAGCTAGTAACAGCATCTCTGACACCTAGAACTAACCTGAGGGACACAAAGGGGAGAGGGAGTGAGAGCTACTGGAGCAGCTCAAACAGACAGAGCCAACCTCAGAGACATTGAATGCACCTAGACAGATTCTGATAGCTTGTGAAAGCTTGTGGCAGCTAGTGATAGCGCCTCTTAACACCTAGAACTAACGTGAGGTACACAGAGAGCACACTTAGACAGAAAGTGATAGCTAGTGGAGTAGCTAAAAAACACAGAGCCGACCTCAGAGACATTGAACGCACCTGGACAGCTTGTGACAGCTAGTGACAGCTAATGAAAGCTAGTGACAGCATGTCTGACACCTAGAGCTAACCTGTGGGATACAGAGAGCACACATGGACAACAAGTGACAGCTAGTGGAGCCGCTCAAGCCCACAGAGCCGACCTCAGAGACATATAACGCACCTGGGCAGCTTGTGACAGCTTGTGACATCATCTCTGACACCTAGAACTAACCTGAGGAACACATCGAGAGCACCTAGACAGCTAGTGATAGCTAGTGACAACATCTCTAACACCTATAACTAACGTGAGAGACACAGATAGTGAACCTGGACTACAAGAGATAGCCAGTGGAGTAGCTCAAATTCACACGGCCAACCTCAGAGACATAGAACGCACCTTGACAGCTTGTAATTGGCATGTGTCAGCTAGTGACAGCTAGTGATAGCTAGTGACAACATCTCTGACACCTATAACTAACGTGAGAGACACAGAGAGTGAACCTGGACTACAAGTAATAGCCAGTGGAGCAGCTCAAATTCACACAGCCGACCTCAGAGACATTGAACACACCTGGACAGCTTGTGACAGCTTGTGACAGCTAGTGACAGCTAGTGGCAGGTAGTGACAGCATCTCTGACACCTAAAACTAACCTGAGGGGCACAAAGAGCGCATGTGGAGAGCTAGTGACTGCTACGGGAGTAGCACAACCCACGGGGCCGACCTCAGAGACATAGAACGCACCTGGACAGATTGTGATAGCTTGTGACCGCTAGTGATAGTTGGGGACAGGATCTCTGACACCTAGAACTAACGTGAGGGACAAAGAGAGTGCACCTGGACAGCATGTGATTGCTAGTGGAGCAGCTCAAACCCACGGAGCCGGCCTCAGAGACATTGAACGCACCTTGAGAGCTTGTGACAGGTTGTGACAGCTAGTGACAGCATCTCTGGCACCTAGAGCTAACATGAGGGGCACAAAGAGCGCACGTGGCGGGCGGTGGCGGGTGGCGGCGGGTTGTTGCAGACGGTGACGGGCGGTGACAATGTGAAGGAGCTTCCTCTGTGGACATGTAGTTCCAGCTCACAACGAGCAGTCCATGTAAGAGGGTTATTGGTAGGTTATGAATGCAAGGCAACGATGGCTATGGATTGTGAGGAGATTTGAGCCGAAAGTCTCGGTCTTTTGAATGACTAGAAGGGCGTTGCTCCAGATCCTTCATGTTTCGAATCTCCAGATGCTCCGAATGTCTAGAACACAACTGCTCTGTGTATGACTCGAGTAGATATTACGAGTAACTGAACGAGAGGAGTATGGTTTAGATAAAGCCTTACGAATACACACTGGTTGTGAAATGCCAGGTGACGGCCATGGTTGAGGGGAAGTGAAATGAAGCATGAGGAGTTCGACAAACTCTAAACGAGGTGCTCCTTATAACTAGCAAACTAACGGAACAACGAGACAGCCATGGATTCCAAAACGACCAATATATAAAGGCTATAACTAAACCTTATTAATTGTTGGTGATGGACTGGCTGGCGACAACCATGGATTCTGAGAAAATGAGTGGAGCTTTTGGCTGGTTAACATGGTGAGGAGAAATGACGTTGAGGAAAGCTTGAGAATGGAATCAAGGAGTTGAGAATGAGGAGCATGAGGGGTTTGGCGATAGCGATACAGAGAGGCTAAGAGCATCGAGAAGGGATTAAGAAAGGTGATTAGGAAAGCGCTGGAGTAAAAGTGGCGGCTAGTGGGGGGGCAAGAACATTTTGGAGGATGAGGGGAGCATTCTTTCGCAGCCCTGAAGGAGGCCGCCGCACCGTCGGCGGACGCAGTCTGTTTCTCGCGCCATATTTGTGAAACGAAAGGTGACGATGAGATTTGTCAGTTCGCCCACAGGAGTATGTCTTGTGACATCGCTGATGAATTTTGCGCATAATGTTACATAATCCCGCCGCGAGAGAGTCCCCCGCTCAGCTCTGGGCTCTTGTGCGGGATGCGCACCTGACCGACACCCATATGATGGCGGTGTATGTTGCTGAACTGAGGTTCGGCTTGTGGGCAATCGAGATTGATCGGACGGCTAAACGCTTCAGTATGATTTCTTGTCCATACACTAAGATGAACAGTTTCCATACATAGAATATCATATCGTTGTTAATAGAAGCACGCTTCCTTTATTGGCACATACTAGAGACATTGAGCAGATTTGAAGAAAGAAAGCTCCTGACAGTCCAACGCCATTGTGATGCATCAATGTGATACCTTACGAGGGATGACAGAGGCATTGCCTGCAAGTAGCAACAAACCCAACCCGCACAACTGGCAAACCACCCCCATTACAGGTTATTCCTTGCCTCCACGACCTCTTGACTCAGCCAGGCAACTTTTCTTCAGTATCACTTCCTTGTGATATTCCACAAGCCGAGAGCCGCAGAATGCCACAAACTTATCCGCATGCCAGAAGTGTAGCGCGTCCTTGAACTTCCCCTTCTTCAGCCCACAGTCGTCGGTTGGGGAGAGGAAGAGGCAGTTGCCTTCCGGTGGCCAGGGAATGTCTTAGAAGTGCAGGGGCACGTTGGCACTACCTGCTGAGTTCTTGATCTGCCACAGCCGATTCTCGTATTGCTCGTAGGTCAGGGGAGCTGCTGAAACACCATGCACACACGCACACAGAAACGAATGCATACACGTCCCCAAGCATGCTTTCACACCCCACATGTGGTACATGATGTCAGCGACGGAACAAACATATCCCACAGCAGGGCACAAACAACCAGCACACTGCATTCACCTCCCCACCCTTTCAGCTGGACGCCAACCACCCTCAACTGGACGCCAGCCACCCTCAGCTGCGCACCAGGCACCTTCAGCTGCGTGCCAGCCACCCTCAGTTGGCGCCAGCCACCCTCAGCTGTGCGCCAGCCACCCTCAGCTGCGCGCCAGCCACCCTCAGCTGCGCGCCAGCCACCCTCAGCTGCGCGCCAGACACCCTCTGCTGGATGCCAGCCGCCCTCAGCTGGACGCCAGCCGCCCTCAGCTGGACGCCAGCCGCCCTCAGCTGCGTGCCAGCCACCCTCAGTTGGCGCCAGCCACACTCAGGTGCACGCCAGCCACCCTCAGCTGTGCGCCAGCCACCCTCAGCTGTGCGCCAGCCACCCTCAGCTGCGCGCCAGCCACCCTCAGCTGCGCGCCAGACACCCTCTGCTGGATGCCAGCCGCCCTCAGCTGGACGCCAGCCGCCCTCAGCTGGACGCCAGCCGCCCTCAGCTGCGTGCCAGCCGCCCTCAGTTGGCGTCAGCCACATTCAGGTGCGCGCCAGCCACCCTCAGCTGCGCGCCAGAAGCCCTCAGCTGGTCGCCAGCCGCCCTCAGCTGCATGCCAGACACCCTCAGCTGCGCGCCAGACACCCTCAGCTGCGCGCCAGCCACCGCGCCCCCTAGTGAGACGAGCGTGCCCTGGTGAGACGAGCGCGCCCTGGTGAGACGAAGGCATTCTGTTGAGGCGAGGAGGGGACTCTAGTGAGATGAGAGCACTGTAGTGAGACAATATCACTCTAGTGAGATGACAGCACTCTAGTGAGACAAGAGCCTGAACTCTCCATCCCACCTCGCCTTGAGCCTCATTCCCCCCATCAACTCACTTCTTGACCTTGAACAGTCCAGTGCCAACTGACACGGAAATTCCCATCATAACGCACTCAGAGACCCCCTCGATCTCGTCCTTGGGTCCGTGTACCGCTGCATCAAAGACGCCCTAAGCCCCCATCCCAATCCCTCACTTCTGCTTGACCTTGAATAGTCCAGTGCCAACCGGCATGGGAATACCCATAATGATGCACTCAGAGACCCCCACTATCTCGTCCTTGTGTCCGTGCCCCGCTGCATCAAAGACGCCCTAAGCCCGCATCCCAATCACTCAGTAATGCTTGATCTTAAGGGGTGGGTGCTGTTGAGGGTGAGTGCTCTTGAGGGTGGCCGATCTTGAGGGTGGCTGCTCTCGGGCGTGGGCGCTCTTGGGCGTGGGCGCTCTTGGTCGTGGGCGCTCCTGAGCGTGGGTGGTCATGGGGGTGGGTGCTCTTGGGCGTCGGTGTCCTTGGGGGTGGGTGCTCTTGGGCGTTGGTGCCCTTGCGCGCTGGTGCTCTCGGGCGCGTGCGTGCGTGCCCTCGGGTGGGCGTGCCCTCGCACGCGCGTGCCAGCTCGTGTGCTTTTGGGCACGGGTGCTCTTGGGAGCGGGTGCTCTTGCGCGTGGGTGCTCTTGGGCGTGGGTGCTCTTGAGCGCGGGTGCTCGGTGCTCCTGGGCGCGGGTGCTCTTGAGCATGGGTGCTCTTGAGTGTGGTTGCTCTTGAGCGTGGTTGCTCTTGAGCATGGTTGCTCTTGAGCATCAGTGCTCTTGAGCATGGGTGCTCTTTGGCATGGGTGCTCTTGGGCGTGGGTGCTCTTGAGCGTGTGCTTCCACAGCTTATCACCTGCCCCCTCCACACTACTCCTGCTTGGTCTTGAACAGCGAAGTGCCAACCGGCATGGGAATTTCCATGATGATGCAGTCCGAGACCCCTGCGATCTTGTCCTCAAAGCCCTGCACACACCATATTGCCTGTTCTCCCACTACCCCCCTTTTGACTCACTTCTGCTTGATCTTGAACAGTCATTCAGCAAACACCATTCACAGCCATAAGGAGAATCACTGGGCTAAAACTGGCATCCACCATCACATCGCATCACCCCTACACTGTACAGGCACAACCACGCTTGTGCCACAACTACCAAGCATCATCTCTGTCTTTCAGCCCAACAGACAGCCTTCCGACCTTTCCTGGCTTCATCGCACTGTGGCTATCCCAGCAGCAGAGGAGCCCGCTTGGGAAGGACTGGGATGTGGTCCACCCTGCAAACGGGGTGAGAACGGAAGGGGGAAGGGTGGGGGAAAGGTGAGGAGAGCTTCAGACGCATGGACTAGCCAAGTCCTAGCGAGGGCACTTAGGGACAAGTGTGAAGACTTGAGAGGGGAAATGGCGGTTGGGGATGCCTGAGAGGAAAGTGGTCGAACCGAGAAAAAATGGAGGGAGAAAGAAATTAGGAGCATGAGTGATGTGTCGCAGCAGCAGCCGACAGGTTACAACCAGTTGTCAGTAGATTATAAGGTTGGGGTATGAGGGCACTCTAATGCGACGAGAGCAATCCAGTGAGACAAGGGCACTCGAGTGAGACACGGCCGCCCTAGTGAGACAAGCACGCTCTAAAGAAACTAGCGCGCGCTCTAGTGAGACGAGGGGGCTCTAGTGAGATGATCGCGCTCTAGTGAGACGAGTGGGCTCTAGTGAGACAAGCGCGCCCTAGTGAGACGAGGGCGCTCTGGTGAGACGAGCGCGCCCTAGTCCCCCATCTCTTAAGCGTGGGTGCTTTCCCGGCTTACCACCTGCCCCCTCCACCTTACACTACTCACTTGTGCTTGATCGTGAACAGCCCAGTGGCAACGGGCAGGGGAATCCCCATGATGATGCACTCCGACACCCCCAAGATCTCGTCCTCACAGCCCTGCACACAACATAACGCCTGTCGTCCCACTACGCCCCTTTTGACTCACTTGTGCTTGATCTTGAACAGTCATTCAGCAATCACCGCCCACTGGGGGGACTAGGCCCTAACCGCCCACTCTACAGCACTCACTTCTGCTTGATCTTGAACAGCCCAGTGCCAACCGGCATGGGAATCCCCATGATGATGCACTCGCTGACCCCCTCGATCTCGTCCTTGCGCCCGTGCACCGCCGCGTCAAAGAGGTGGTCCGTGGTCTTCTCAAAGGACGCCAGCATGAGCACGCTGTCCTTCATCTTTGCGATTCCAAACCGCGTGATTCCTAGGATCTCGCCCTGGGATACCACGGAGAAATGGGGAATGGGGGAGGATGGGGCAGGGGGGCGGGCGGGAGCAACGCGGCATCAAAAGGGCGGTTGGTGGTCTTTTCGAATGATGCCAGCGTGAGCACCCTGTGATGCCCAGAAAAAAAAACACAGCGAGAAAAAGGGAGGGGGGGCGGGGGAGAGATAGGGGAGGGGTACATTCGTGAGGAGGCCCACGTCGCATCCTTCATCTTGGCGATTCCAACCTGCACGATGCCAAGGGGAGGACAAACGTGTGTTATGAGTCTATTTTTGAGTCGACTCAAAAAACGGTTCCAAACCGTGTGACCAAGGGAATGGAAACATGTGTGGAAAGTGCTTTTGAGTCGACCCAAAAGCAGGTGAGGGCAGCAGGAGGCATAACCAAAAGGGCATGGGTCGAGGACGAAAATGTCATGATATGAGCAGCACCTCACCTTGTATGGTATGACGTCAGCAACCGCCTCACCTTGTAGGTCATGACGTCAGCGAGCAGCATCATGTGGCGGGGGTCAATGGTCATGCCGTGCGATCCCATGGTGTAGTTGATCTCATGCATGATGCAGTGCCGGGCCGCCTCTATCCCCAACACCGTCTCCACCTCCATCACGTGGTTGCTCTTCGTCTTGCACCCGTCCACCCCTGTCACTCCCAGCACTGCGCCGAAGTTTGTTCTGCAGCACAAGGGGGAGGTATGTGAACGTGTGTACCGGTGAAATCAGCAAGCCTGTGGTGGCGTGGAGGGCCGCCTCTATCCCCAGCACCGTTTCCACCTCCATGACATGGTTGCTCTTTGTCCTGCACCGGTCTACTCCCGTCACTCCCACAACCACGCCGAAATTTGTCCGGTGGCACGAGGGGCAAGTATGTGTATGGGTGCAAGGAGCGCGTAGTGTACAGTGATATCAGCAAGCACCAGATGCCATACCTGGCTGCCTATAATCCCAGCACAGTTCCCACCTCCAACTAACCCCCCTCCAAACCCCCTCACACTTGACATGCCAAATGCACTCACCCCTTACAACCACCCACACACCCTTACACCAGCACGTTGGTGTACTCCCCCCCTCCAAAATCGTTAATCACCGCCCGCTCCACACTCGGTATCCCCTTCATCATCACTCGAGGCAGGTCGATTATGCAAACTACTCCAGTCCACCCAATACGCAAGTCCGCCAGCAACGCAAGTCCACCCAATACGCAAGTCCGCCCACTACTCAAGTCCGCCCACTACGCAAGTCCGCCAACTACGCAAGTCCGCCAACTACGCAAGTCCGCCAACTACTCAATTCTGCCAACTACGCAAGTCTGCCAACTACGCAAGTCTGCCAACTACGCAAGTCTGCCAACTACGCAAGTCTGCCAACTACGCAAGTTTGCCAACTACGCAAGTCTGCCAGCTACGCAAGTCTGCCAACTACGCAAGTCTGCCAACTACGCAAGTCTGCCAACTTGGCAAGTCTGCCAACTACGCAAGTCTGCCAACTACGCAATTCATTTATCACCACAATCTCCTGGCTGGGAATGCCCTTGACGATGACTTGCGGCAGCTTGTTCCTGAGATTATCCAGCCGATGCTATCAAATACCCACACACCCACCCACTCACCCTTCCACTAGAAGGTTGTACTTCCCTCCTCCCAGGTCATTGTTAACTGCTCTAACCACTGGTTTTCCCTTCACGATCACTTGTCTGCGCTCAGCTCATGCCCTCCTGCATCCACCCTTCACCACGATAACCCACTCACCCTTCGACCAGAAGGTTGTACTTCCCCCCGCCCAGGTCATTGATAACCGCTCTCTCCACGCTGGGTATGCCCTTCACGATGACTTGCGGCAGCTTGTTCCTGAGGTTGTGCAGCGAGAAGAGCAGCTGCCTGCGGTCCTGCTCGGGCGAGTACACCAGCAGCTTGTCCGCGCTCACCACGCGTATATGCTGCGCCTTCAGCTTCATGCGCAGCCGCGACGCCGTGGTGATGGCGTCGGCCACGGTGTATGCAGTGATGTCGAGCTGCAGGGCGGAGATGCGGTGCATGTCCAGGCGGATGGACAGCATGGCCTGGCTGGGCGTCAGGACGGTCTTCATGCTTCTGACCACCTGGGACAGGGGGGGGGGGATGGGAAGGCCAGAGTGGGGTGGACATGGGAGATAGGGCACTACTATGTACGCGGTGATGTCGAGCTGCAGGGCGGATATGCGGTGCATGTCGAGGTGAATGGTCAGGACGGTTTTCATGCTGCGAACGACCTGGAGGACATGGGAAGGCCACAGGGGGATGGGCATGGGGGACAGGACTATGGTTTATGGGGTGATGGCGACCTGTCAGTACTGAAACACCGAAACCCCACACCACTCCCAGGAATATGGTTTACTGGGGTGAATCACTCACCTCTCCCAGCGTGGTCTTCTCTATGCGCCCTTTGACGATCCTAGCCGCCTTGACATCGTTGTCTGTCTCCAGCTTCACGGTCACGATGGGCGTGCTGATGTTCTTGGCCGCGTTGATAATCTCCTTAATTCGCGGCACACCGAGGGTGACGTCTGAAGCAAAGGGAGGAGCAGAGGGAAGGGAACGATCAGAGGAAGGTCAGTGTACAGCTTCACGTTCACGATGGGTGTGCTGATATTCTTGGCCGCGTTGATCTCCTTGATGCGTTTCACTCCCAGAGTGACGTCTGGAGGGGTATAGGTGCAAAGGCAGCAGAAGGAAGGGCACGGAAACAGAGAGGGCATTCAAGCTTGACGGTCACGATGAGCGTGCTGATGCGCTTGGCTTGGCTGCATCGCTGATCTCCTTGATTCGGGGCACACCAAGGTTCACGGCTGAAAGAGTGGCAATAGAGGGAAGGGCGGGGCATGAGAAGAGGAAGGTCAGTGTCCAGCCTCGACGAACGGGAGAGGTCATTCGAGCTTGACTGTTGATACTCTTCTTGGCTGCGTTGATGCCGCGGTGATGCTCTTGGCCACGTTGACCTGATGGTATCTGAGAATGCTCAAAAGCCTCTCACAAGGCGTTGATGAGCTCCTTCATTCGGGGTGCTCCCAGCGTCATGTCTAGATGATGGATGGGGGGAGAGGAAAGGGAGGAGCGAAGCATGTGCCAATATTGCACAATTGGTGTGAAAAAAAACTCACGGGAGAAATGCTTAAACTCAAAATTAAGAACTCATGGGAGACATGCTTTTAAAACTCTAAAGAAGAAACTAATGTGAGAGAAATGCTTCAACAACTCTAAAGAAAAAACTCACAGGAGAAATGCTTTTAAAACTCTAAGGAAGGAACTCACAGAATGATTTTAAAAGTCCAAAGGGAAAACTCACAGAAGAAAAGCCCTCCTGATCGACCTCCCTCCCTCAATCCCCCCATCATAACATCCGCACCCACTCACTGACATATCCGTGCTCACTCACATATCCATGCTCACTGACATATCCGTGCTCACTCACATATCCATGCTCACTCACATATCCATGCTCACTGACATATCCGTGCTCACTCACATATCCGTGCTCACTCACATATCCATGCTCACTCACATATCCATGCTCACTCACATATCCATGCTCACTCACATATCCATGCTCACTCACATATCCATGCTCACTCACTCATGGAAAGTCTGAGTCATCTGTGAGCCTATGGGCCCCACTGCGTGCCCGGCTCTCACGCATGCACACTCACTCATGGAAGCAACACCGGCGAAATGGAAGGTCTTGAGAGTCATCTGCGTGCCCGGCTCGCCGATGGACTGCGCCCCTATGGCCCCCACTGCTGTGCCGGGCTCCATGCGCTTGGACTGGTAGCGGTGGATGCAGGTGTCCAGGAATAGCTGGTTGGGGGTGGAGAAAGGGCTGGGATGTGAGGACGAGGCTTTCTGATGGATGGCCCTTACTGCTGTGGCCAGCTGCATATGCTTGGACGGGTAGCGGTGGATGCAGATGTCGGGGATAGATGGTCGGGGCGGGAGAGAGGGAAGGATGTTGAGAGATTGGGTGAAGGGTGGCAATTGGGGATGAAGAAGGCAAGAGTGACTTCTAGTCGAACAAAAGTCACATGGTGAAGGTCACGCATGCGACATGGTGAAGGTCAAACATGCGACATGGTGAAGGTCACGCATGCGACATGGTGAAGGTCATGCATGCGACATGGTGAAGGCCATGCATGCGACATGGTGAAGGCCATGCATGCGACATGGTGAAGGCCATGCATGCGACATGGTGAAGGTCATGCATGCGACATGGTGAAGGCCATGCATGCGACATGGTGAAGGCCATGCATGCGACATGGTGAAGGTCATGCATGCGACATGGTGAAAGCCATGCATGCGACATGGTGAAGGCCATGCATGCGACATGGTGAAGGCCATGCATGCGACATGGTGAAGGCCATGCATGCGACATGGTGAAGGCCATGCATGCGACATGGTGAAGGCCATGCATGCGACATGGTGAAGGTCATGCATGGGACATGGTGAAGGTCATGCATGCGACATGGTGAAGGCCATGCATGCGACATGGTGAGAAGCCCTGAACATGTCACCTCCAGTGGCCACTTTCAGGAGCAGCTCAATGTCTCCTCACCTCCAGTTGCTTCCTTGTCACGCCACACAGGTTCTGAGCCACCTTCTCAGCAACCCCCCTCTCCAGCACCTTCCTCTTCCCCCCCTCCCCCTCCCCTTCTCCCTCTCCCTCCCCTATTGCCATTTGTGAACCCCCCTCCTTGTCCCCGCCTCCCCCCACTTTACCCTCTCCTCCCCCCTCTGCCCCACCCTTCTCATCCACCTCCATCCCATCCACAACCCCATTCCCCTCCCCCTCCCCCTCCCCCTCCCCCTCCCCTCCATTCTCTCCCCCCCCCTCTCCGCCTCCTCCTTTGTAACCGGTAACCCTAATCTCTTCCTCGTGATCTCCATCGCCCCCAGCTGTTTCTCCAGGAACCCCACCACCGAGTCTCGGAACCGTGTCGAGCACCCGCCCTCCGACTCGGGGTCGGCGTACTCCGGGGCGGCGAACCTTGTCTGCATGTGCATGCGCATCTCGTCGGGGAAGAGCGGTGGGTCTTTCCGCATGGGGCGCACAGCCTGATGGGGGAGAAAGGGGGCGTGGGGAGTGGGAAGCGTGGGGGACGGGGGGACATGGGGTTGGATGGGAAGGAGGAAGGATATGAAGAGCGGGGGGACCCTGCGCATGGGGCGCACTGCCTGATGGGGAGAGGAGGGGGGGGAGAGGGGGAGGCGAGGGGAGGCAGGGGGGGTGGAGGGAGGCGGGGGGAGGTTGGAGAAGATGGGGTGGAAGGTGAGCGTGGAGATGGGGGAGGGGGAGTAAAGATGGCCAAATATGGGGATGGGCGGGGGGGAGACTGATAGGAGTGGAGAGCGGAAAAGCAGAAAGTGGGGTTTGGGATGGATCCATACCATCATCCCTACCCACCCCCCATCCCCCCATCTCATCATTGCATCTGTCACAACCCATCAGTCACCTGGCACTTGGTGAAGGTGCGATCGAGATTCAGTGGCTCCCCATCCTTGCCCTCCATGTGCACGCGGTCCATGCCGTGCCGTCATCCCCGTATCGCATGCCGTGCCGTCATCCCCGTATCGCATGCCGTGCTGTCATCCCCGTATCGCATGCCAAGCCGTCATCCCCGTATCGCATCTGCACAGTGCCCCCACTCGCGTTCCTCCTATCCTCCCAGCATCCCCTACATGATACAATCAATCCTTCACTCCCCTACCGCTGTCAATCCTCCACCCACTAACCTGGCACTTAGTGAATGTGCGATCGAGGTTAAGGGGCTCCCCGTCCTTCCCCTCCATGTGCACGGGGTCCATGCCGTCATCACCATATCGCATCTGCACAATGCCCCCACTCGCGTTCCTCACAGTGCCGTCGTACGCCACTGACAGATCCTCCAGGGCCTTCATCAGGCGCCGCGACATGTACCCTGTCTCTGCTGTTTTCACCTGACGAAACACAAGAGGGCGGAGGAGGGCCACGGCAAGGGAAAAGAGAGCCTCAGGGTGTGCTTTTCCAATAACCACTTCCTCCACTGGAGTTAAGACCCCCTCACAAGGTGTCCACGTCGGAGACCATAGAAAAGGTGCAGCAGTGAGGCGAGTCAGAGCACTCACAGCAGTATCCACAATCCTACACTCCCATGGTGTGAAAAAGAAACTCGGTTGGCGTCAATCCCGTCACAAGGGAGGGGAAGAAACGCACGGTGGAAGAGGGGAGAGGGTGCAGGGAAAGCCAGGAGCACTCACAGCGGTGTCGACGAGGCCCTCCCTGCCTCCCATGGTGTGGAACACAAACTCCATGGGCGTCAGTCCAGCCAAAAGGGAGGGGCAGAAACGCAGGGTAGAAGAGGGAACGCAGGGTAGAAGAGGGAACGCAGGGTAGAAGAGGGAACGCAGGGTAGAAGAGGGAACGCAGGGTAGAAGAGGGAACGCAGGGTAGAAGAGGGAACGCAGGGTAGAAGAGGGAACGCAGGGTAGAAGAGGGAACGCAGGGTAGAAGAGGGAACGCAGGGTAGAAGAGGGAACGCAGGGTAGAAGAGGGAACGCAGGGTAGAAGAGGGAACGCAGGGTAGAAGAGGGCGCAGGGAAAGCCAGGAGCACTCACAGCGGTGTCGACGAGGCCCTCTCTGCCCCCCATCGTGTGGAATACGAACTCGGTGGGCGTCAGTCCGCTGTAGAACGAATTTGCCACAAACCCCTTCGCCTGCCGTGATCACGACAGGGATGGGCATGGGGATGGGGATGGTGGCGATAAGGGGAAAAGGGCACGGAGAGAGGGATGATACGGGAGGGAAGGGTGAGGAGAGAACACGGGAAGAGGGGATTGCGGCAAAGAGGGAAGCAAGCAGTCTCTCACAAACCCTGCTGAAACGCACCACACAGCCCTTCACAACTGAGTCGAGCGGCGGTGGGCGGTGGGCGGTGGGCGGTGGGGCCGTGGCCAGTGGATGGAAGAGGGACGAAGGTGGAGGGTGGACGGTGGAAGGTGGACGGTGTCCGCCGGTGGACGGTAGACGTAGACATGGGCAGCATGCCAAGCCTGGCTCGACTCGGCTCGACTCGATCACAAGCCAAGTAAAAGTCGAGCCGAGCCGGCTCGACTCGACCCGAGCCGAGCCGGCTCGACTCGACCCGAGCCGGCTGCCCGAAAATGGCTTGCTCAACTCGGGGTTTGAGGGTTGAGCCAAGGACCGGCTCGACTTTGGCTCGGCTCGGCTCGACTCAACAGAGTAGTGATGGTTAGCGTTCTTGACTGGAGTAGAAAGTGGGTGTTCCCTAAAAACGTAATTTAGTTAGTGAGGGTTGTGCCAAGGAGTAGGACTAGCTGCCTCAGAAACTCCACTGAAGCACACCAACCCAAAGCATACCACAGAGGGCAGCACCACACGCAACCGCACAGAACACACACGTGGCGAGGCGAGCGGTCGTGGTGGGGGAAGTGCAGCATGGAGCGGTGCAAAAAGCCATTTGGCGCTCTCTTTCCCTCCACAGACTGCTGGCACACGGACGCCACCATCTGGGAGATGAAAACAAGCAGTCTCACGAACCTCGCTGAACCGCACTACACCCAATACGCACCTGTGGCGAGCGATCATGGCGGGGGAAGTGCGGCAGTGAGCGGTGCAGAAAGCCGTTGGGGGCTCTCTTTCCGCCCACAGACTGCTGGCCCACACACGCCACCATCTGCGATATGTTGATGGGGGACCCCTTGGAGCCGCACTGTGACATGATGAGCGGGCTGTTGCGCCAGTGCAGCTCGCGCAGACACACCTGCAGGCAACCAGGGGTTTGGGGTTCCAAGATTTAGGAAAACTCTCGGCCCTTTGAGCCCTTCGAGGCACTGGGCAGTGGCCATTGCCATTGCCTCTTCCCCCTCCCTCTCACCTTCCCCGCCTCCTCTCGAATCTTGTTGAGCTCGCCGGTGATATTGGCCTCCAGGGTCTGGGCGCGGTTGCACCCGGGCTGCAGGGTGAACCTGAGCGCTCAAGGCTCAGCGCTTGTAGATCATTCACCCCCTCCCCCCCTCTCACCTTCCCCGCCTCCTCTCGAATCTTGTTGAGCTCTCCGGTAATATTGGCCTCCAGGGTCTGGGCGGGGTTGCACCCGGGCTGCAGGGTGAGCCTCCCCTCGTTGACCCTTCCGTCCCATCAAATTTCACCCCTCCACCCTCCCTCCCACCTTTCCGGCCTCCTCTCGAATCTTGTTGAGCTCGCCGGTGATATTGGCCTCCAGGGTCTGTGCAGGGTTGCACCCGGGCTGCAGGGTGAGGCGGCCCTCGTTAAAGGCTTGGATGTGGCGCTGGCTGGCGTCGTACCCCTCCTCCACCGCCTTCTGCTTCTGCTCGTACAGGTGCTTTGATGGCTGCACGTCGTCGATTCCGATGGAGAACCCGTGGTTGCCGATCCAACGTGCACTGGGAGGGTGAACAAGGGGGGAAGTATAAGGAAAGGGGGGAATGGGGAACACAAGGGGGGGAGGAGAAGGAATGGTTTGCATCGTACCCCTCCTCCACCGCCTTCTGCTTCTACTCAAACAGATGCTTGGATGGCCGCACGTCGTCGATTCCGATCGAGAACCCGTGGTTGCCGATCCAACACGCACTGGAGGGAGGCAGTTGTGGGCGGAGGTGAGGCAGGGTGGAGGAAAAGAATGGGCATCGCATCGCACCCGTCGTCTGCCATGGCTCAACCGTTCATGCAATACTATAGCCTATAGCCTATAGCCTATAGCCTATAGCCTACAGCCTATAACCTATAGCCTATAGCCTATAGCCTCTAGCCTATAGCCTCTAGCCTATAGCCTATAGCCTCTAGCCTCTAGCCTATAGCCTCTAGCCTATAGCCTATAGCCTCTAGCCTATGGCCTCTAGCCTATAGCTTCTAGCCTATAGCCTGTAGCCTATAGCCAACAGCCTATAGGTTCTCGCACCAGCTCGCCCTCGCACCTGAGCTTGGCCAGTCGGTTCATGCACACGGCCGCCACTTGAGCCGAGTACTCGCGCATGAGCAGCGCAAACAAACCCTGCTTGCTGCCGTTGCCTGCAAGCGGTCGAGAAGGAGGTCAGAAAGGAGGGGCAGGATGGCTAGAGGATTGACAGAGTGAACAAGCTTGTAAATACTCATGGGTCTTTAAATATCTCCAAACTCAAATTCTGCTTGTACACGTTCACAGGTCTCAAAAAGGCTTAAGCTCACCTAGAGTAGCTTTTCCAAGCTGCCCTGACCTGACAGCGGTCCGCTGCTCTGAAAGAAAACAAACCCATCGTTCACGCAGAACGGCCCGCCCTTCTTCCTGCTTATCTCCATTGGTCTCAAGCCAGAGACTCTTGAGCTCACCTAGAGTGGCCTTTCCAAGTTGCCCCGACAACAGTTCGCTGTTCCGGAAGAAGACGAACCCATCATTCACACAGAACGGCCCGCCCTTCTTGGTGTACGTCTTCTCGGGCACGCCCAATGTGACAAACACGCGGTCCTGAGCTGACGGCCGCACGAGCACACTCATGAGCTGCTTGCCCGTCCACAGCTCCACGGGCTTGAGCAGCGCGGGCGTGGGGATGTCGATGTGCATGAGCCCATCCGCCATGTAGGAGCACAGCAGGCAGAAGGACGCCCGGTCGTAGAAGGTGTCTCTGGGAGGGGGAGGAAGGGAAGGGGGGGGGGGAGGAGGAAGGGAGGAGGGGTTAAAAGGGGCTGTGCACCAGGCCTTTGGACATGTAAGCACACAACACAGGAAAGGACGCTCCATCGTAGAAGGTGTTTGGGAGATTTTTTTTTTTTAATTCTAAAAATGGACGCTCGATCGTAAAAGGTGTCTCTTGAATGGGACGGGAGAAAGGGAGAGGTGAGGGGGGGGGGTGGGGCAAGGGGGGGGGGTTGGTAAGACAGAGTGAAACGGTAAAAGCGGAATGGCAGGGAGCAGGGACGCTTGAGCAAAGGTAAAAGCCATACCTTTTGGTAATGCAGAGAATGTGGAGCCGAGAGCGGCATACCGGCGGGTGATGAGGAAGGCGGATGTGAGGAAGTCCTGGGTGGATGCCACGAGGATGTCCCCGTTCTTAGGCGTGCACAGGTTGTTCTCCACCTGGTGAAGGGCAGGAGGCACGGGAGACAGAGGGGGCAGAGGGGGCAAAGGGTGCACGGGGTAGAGAGGTATGTGTGTGTGTGAGAGAAAGAGAGAGAGAGAAAGAGAAAGGGAGAGAGAGAGAGAGAGAGAGAGAGAGAGAGAGAGAGAGAGAGAGAGAGAGAGAGAGAGAGAGAGAGAGAGAGAGAGAGAGAGAGAGAGAGAGGGAGAGCCTAAGTCCCTTCCTCTCTATTTAAGGCCCTTCCCTGCCTCCTTTCCTTTGTTTAGTTTTCAGTTATTCTTTTTCCTACCCTTGGTGGCGGAGAGAGGAGAGAGAGAGTGAGAGAGAGAGAGAGCCTAAGTCCCTTCCTCTCTATTTAAGGCCCTTCCCTGCCTCCTTTCCTTTGTTTAGTTTTCAGTTATTCTTTCTCCTACCCTTGGTGGCGGCTCGCGTCGGCGGCCTTCGGCCGCGCGGGAGGGGGTGGCAAGTCCCACATTCCAATATACCGCAACAAGTACAACGCATGCTTGATGGAGCCCCCCCAACTCTAGACTAGGACCTGCAACGCGTATCCTACGTTGGCCAACAAGCTCACATGGAGCAACTGATCCGCCGGGCAGGGGCGCTCAGACTGCAGGACTCACCGCCCGGCCGCACCTACTCCCGCCGCTCTGCTATTCCGCGACAGCCGCCAGCCCGGCCTCCTCCAGCAATGCGGCCTGATACGACAACAGGACCTGCAGCGTGGACACGGCGCCAGCTACAAGCCCTGCAGCTGACGCCGAGTCTATGCTCGCCGACACCTGGCGGAGAGCGGCGAGCAGGTGAGGGTCCGTGCCTGTTCCCCGGGCGGGCCCGGGCCACGCGCGTGCGGCCTCCACAGCGAGATCTATGGCTGCTTCCATGCAGCCCTGAAGGGGGAAGTACGGGGCCATTGACCGGCCCCCTGAGCTCCCCAGCGCGGAGCTCGCCGCCGCCAGCATCGTCAACAGTATCTCAGTCCCCCTCCGAGCGTGCCCAAGGCGACGAAGTATGGCAGCTGGGACCAATATCTCCGCGGGAGCCGCCGTCGGCGGCCCCTCTGTCGGCGGGCTCCTTCGTGTCGCCACCCCGGTCCGACGACCACGACGGGGAGACCGCTCCCCTGGCGACTCCGCGCCCCCCGTCTCTGCTGCTTCTGCCCCCGCCTCTACACCCCGTGGGGATGGCGCCCGTCGCCGAGGGGGAACAAACGGACCGACCACACCCCCTCCGCGGTAGAGCCCCACCTGGGGCTCAGACCACTCCGCCGCCCCGGCCCATGACGAGGGGGGATGCCACTCCGGGAGCGTATCGGCGGATGACGCGGGGCTACCTAACTGGGGCGCTGGCAGAAACGGCTGGCGCAAGTCATAGTACCCGAGGGGGGAGAGGACCGGCGCGTGCGAGGACGGTGGAGGCGCGACATGGTGAAGGACAGTATACAGGCCCCCTGGCGGCACATGCTGTCGCGGAGGCGCCGGCGCAGATGGGAGCGGAACAGCCGGAGGTGGCGCCGGGAATTGTACGCTCGACTGCTCCAACCCACGCGCCATTGCGGGACAGGGCTGCACGGGCCGCGGCTGAGGGGGAACCGCACCAACAAGAGCGGTCTGGACGGGGAGGGACGGTGGAAGGACTCGAGGAGGAGATGGAGGCTGCGTGTGAAGGGGGAGCCGTCGGGGGGGCTCCTGCTGCGGGGGCGTTGGGAGCAGCCCAGCGCCGGCCCGCTCGAGTATCCCCTCCAGCGTTGCGGCGGTCCACGCCAGCCGCCTCTCCAGCGCACTCCCCCTCCGCCCCCGACGCGTGCCAGCGCGCCCCAAGGGGCCATTTGGCGCACGCTGCTGTTGCGGGAGGGGCCGAGACGGCAGCTCAGGAGGGGGGCGTGGACCCGCCGCACGTGATACAGCAGGCGGCGACAACGCAGCACGAGGACACTGGCGTTCCTCTGCCACCGCAACCCGCCCTTCCAGCCGAGGCGGCGTCGCCGCACGCACCCGATCGGGGGACGCTGGCGCGCTCGTGGACGGCGCTGGGAGCCCGCGTGCCCACCGCCGGTCAGACAGGGGAGGGGAGCTCGACCGACCTCGGGGGAGGACGTTTTCCCCCGAACTCTCGCGATCGACGGAGCGCTCTCTTCGCGCGCGATCAGCCCGGTCGGCCATCCGACTCGCCGATGAGCCGAAGAGCGGGCACAGCGAGGCAGCGGGGCGATCGCCCGCCTACACCACGCTCCACACCACGGGGCGGCGCCACGCGGAGGGGACGCGGCGGAGGCAGGGATGGCGGAACCAGGGGCCGTGGTGGTGGCGGGCACGGGAGCGGGCGCGCACGGACAGGCGATCTGGCACGCGACGGTGGCCCGCTGAACGGCTTCCAGCAAGCTGCGGATCGGGCTTTAAGGGACATGGGACTGCGGGAGGCAACTGATGAGGACGAAAGACGAGACGGTACATATATCCAGGAACCGCACATGGATTCTACCACCGACGATTCCAGTGGCACACTCGGGGAAAGGGCACCGAGGCGGGTAGGGAGTGAGATTCGAAACCCCTCTCCCAGATCCAGGGGCCACGGACATATGGGATCACAATCTGCCCGCCCGCTGGACAGTCCCTCCCAGGCAGCCAGGCAACTATCCCCGGAAGAACTGGCCCACGATCCGTCACGATTTGCTCAACTGGCCAGTTGGGACATCGCGGTGCTGTGCGATAGTCGCCAGCCCCCTCTTTCAAGGCGACTGCCCCCCTCTATTCGCCAGCTGTTCGCGCTGGCCCTGCTGACGCCCCTCCTTTTCCTCACGAAAAATCCAACTTCAATCGGGGGTTGGCGGTTGTTACTTTTTCTTCCACGACTAACTCTTCGCATGTCATCGCCCAAACGCCCAGATTGGCCAGCGATGGAAACCCGTCTGCAGCAGTTCCTCGCCGGCCAGTGGGACACCCTCTACCAGTCAGCTGCGGCAGCTGTCACACTGCCTGCGCCCCCTCGCCATGTTCGTGACGACCTCGGGAAAATCTCCCGAGCCGAGGGGCTGGTGCGACGAGGAAGCCTTCGCCGCGCCCTACTGGCGCTCCAGTCTACCCCAGTCAGCGAGTCAACCCCGGAGGTCCTTGACTCGCTGAAGTCCAAACACCTGAGACCGTTGACAGAGGACCTCACGTGGCCCTCCCTGGACGACATCACCCCGCCGGCGCTCGACTTCGCCGATTTCATTCGCCTACTTTCGCGAAGTGAAAATGGGGTCGGAGCCGGCCCTTCGGGGATGACATTTGAACACCTGCGCGACGCCTCGCTCACCAATCCGCACGTCGCAAAGCTCCTGCACGAAATTGTGCAACTGCTCCTCGCCGGTAACCTGCCCCAGGAGGTCAGCGAGTTGTTAACTGCGTCCCGCCTGTTAGCCCTTCGCAAACCTGATGGCGGGACACGCCCCATCGCCATAGGGGAATGTCTCCACCGCCTTACTGCCAAATCCGCCCTCATGTCGTCAACCCAGCCCGCACAAGATTATTTTCTGCCACTTCAGTTCGGCGTTGCAATTCGGAGCGGCGGAGAGGCAATTATCCATGCCACCCGGGCTTTCACCTCCGTACGTCCCCGCTCCGTGATTGTCCAAGTGGACCTCACAAACGCGTTTAACAGCGTCGAGCGAGGGGCGATCATCACCGCCATTGACGGCTCGCCCCTTCGATCGCTGCTTCCATTTATCCGTTTTTCGTACGGCACCCCGTCGCTCCTGTACCTCGACGACAGGTTCGCCAGCCCACCACTCCTGAGTGCACGGGGCGTCCGACAAGGGGACCCCATGGGCCCCTTGCTCTTCGCTGCCGCCATCCACCCCGCGCTTCAATCAACAGCCACCGCCCACCCTGATGTCCTCTGTCTAGCCTACGCGGACGACGTGACGTTCGTGGGAGAACCGGCCGCCTGCACAGCGGCCTTCCACCACTTCACGAGCGCCGTGGGGGCCATTGGCCTTACACACAACCCCTCGAAGTGTGGGGCGTGGTCCCCCACTCCTCCCCCACCCGACGCCCTTCCCCCGGACGTCCCCTTCCACAACGAGGGACTACGGGTGCTGGGGAGTTTTGTCGGGACAGCGGAGGGCTCAGCTGCTTTTCTCCGTTCCCAGCTGGCCTCGCTGGCCGAGCCACTCCCCACCATCGCCACCATGGACCCCCAGTCAGCCTCTCTCCTCCTTACGCGCTGCATCTCGCGGCGGGTCAGCTACTTGACCCGCACCACGCCCCTGGACTTCCTCCCACACTCCGAGTGGTCGGAGTGGGGTCGGGGGCTCTTTCACACCCTCCTCGGCGCATGCAACCTCCAACTTCCTCGAGGGGAAGCCGAACGCGTGCGCACCTGGGCTCAGGCCTCGCTTCCACCTTCGCTTGGCGGGCTGGGCCTCTCCGACCCCGCCGTCGAAGGCCCGGCGGCCTTCCTAACCAGCGTCGCCCAGGCACAGCACCTCCTCGCCGCCTTACCATTCGCAGCCGAAGGGCCCCTGGCGTCCGCACTGCCCCCCCTCACCCCCCCCTTCTCCGGCCCCCATCACCTCCATACCTGGCTGGCAAGGTGTGAGGCGGCCATGCCGTCCCATGCACTGGAACTCCTGCGCTCCGAACGCCAGGAGCCCTCTGGCACCCCACTCCAGCACCGACTCTCCCTTGAGGTCCACGCCGCCCGATATGCGGACCAGGTGACGGCGTCCCGCGAGATGGAGCTGAACCCCAGTTCTGGCCACACACAGCGCCTGTTCTCTCTGGCGGGTTACGGGGCAGGGGATTGGCTCCACGCCATCCCCATCTTCCCTTCTCTCCGCCTCGGACCTCCACACTTTGCCATCGCCCTCGCCTTCCGCCTCGGCCTCCCTTTCCCAGCCCCACGCAATTGCAACTGCGCCGACGAGACCGAGATACTTGACCCCCGGCTGCCCAACCACCTCTTCCGGTGCGGCACGGGCCATGGCCGGACAGACACGCACAACGCACTCCGCGACGAGTGCATCCGTATGGCGCGGGACGCGGGGCTCATTGTCACAAAAGAGACCACTATCTACAGTCCGGTGGACGGTCACAAGGCGGACCTAGCCATGCGCGACAGGGTCTCCGGCGCCGTGTGGATCTGTGACGTCACCGTCACGGATCCCATCAGCACCCGGGACCCGCACGCACGCAAGGGGCGGGGTTATATGGCCCGGGAACAAGCCGACAAAAAGATTGACCATTACCGTAACCGCGCACCTTATGTCGGCTTCTTCCCCTTGGCCGTGGAGACCTATGGCTGCCCCTGCGCCGAGGTCCCCAGCTTCCTGAAGCTCCTCGCGGACACGGGAGCTAGACGGCTGTTCAACGCGGACCCAAGCTCCTACCAAGCGGCGAAGCTCCTGCATCAGTTCCGCCAGCGCTGGTCCGTCACTCACACTCCAGCGGGCGCAGGCCCTGGCCTACCTCGGGAAAATCAACGAGGCTGCCCCGGCGGAGAATCCCCCCGTGGGTGCTCCCGGAGCCGAAATGGGCCTAGGGGACTGTTTTGCCATAGCTGAGCCCCTCGGGGAGCTCTAGTCTTCCAGCCACCCACCCCCTGCGTGCACGCACCTTTCATAGGCTCCGGAGTTGGCCCACATGCCTAGTATGTACAACGTTTTTCTTTTAATCAATACAAGGACCGCTTGAGTGAGAGAGAGAGCGAGAGAGAGAGAGAGAGAGAGAGAGAGAGAGAGAGAGAGAGAGAGAGAGAGAGAGAGAGAGAGAGAGAGAGAGAGAGAGAGAGAGAGAGAGAGAAAGAGAGAGAGAGAGAGAGAGGATGACACGAGGATGTCTCCGGCGTGCAGAGATTGTTCTCCACCTGGTGAGGGGTGAAGAGGAGCAGGGGGGGGGAGGGGGGAGGTGAATGAACAGTAGACGAGTACAAAAGGGGAAGCAAAACTTGTGGAACCGCATTGAACCGCTGTACATACCCCCATGAGCAGCACATACCCCCATGCCCACACTGAATCCCATAAAACCACACTAAACCGCCGCACGTACCCCCATGAGTAGCAGAGCCTCTGTGCGGGCCTCCTCTGTCTGCGGCGCGTGCATGTTCATCTCGTCGCCGTCAAAGTCTGCGTTGTACGGGTTGCACACACTCTCGTTGAAGCGCAGGGTCTTCCACGGCATCACCCGGGCCTGGGGAATGAGGGGGGATGGGTGGGGGGTTTGGAGATGTGGGAGGGGGGGAGGGGGGGGGAAGGGAGAGGCAGCTCAAGGCCTGTCACCGCACGTGCATGTTCGTTGCCATCGAAGTCTGCGTTGTACGGGTTGCACACACTCTCATTGAACCGCAGAGTTTTCCACGGCATCACCTGGAATGAGAGGGGGGGAGGAGGGGAGAAGGCATTTGAGGATGCATCAACACATGTGCATGTTTATCGGATTCTTGGCAAAGCTGACACCCTATGTCACATGATGCATATCACTCTACCCTATCGAGCATCACATGGTGCCAATTATCCCACCCTGTGGCACATGGTGCCAATTATCCCACCCTGTGGCACATGGTGCCAATTATCCCACCCTGTGGCACATGGTGCCAATTATCCCACCCTGTGGCACATGATGGACATTCGATGCAGACTGGGCTGGCGGTTGAAGAGCACCATGTCCCCGTCCTCCAGGTGTCTTTCCACTATGTCCCCGTACTTGAGCTCCGCTGCGACTCTCCTACGATCGCCATACTTGAGGAACCTGGAGCGAGGGGTGAGGTGCGTGCTTGTTGACAGGGCAACACAACCTGGGAGAGCTAAGTTTTGTGAACTTGCAAACTTGACGGAAGCAGCGAAAGAGGAGCTGAAACCTACATGCACATCACACACACACACACACACACACACACACACACACACACACACACACACACACACACACACACCCACCCACGCACGCACGCACCCACACACACACACACACACACACACACACACACACACACACACACACACACACACACACACACACACACAGATATGTAATAAATGCATGCATTTATCTTTACCATCACTCACAACTTGTTGCCGTTGGGTAGACGACAAAGTTCGCGCCAGGATATTTGGCCGTGCCGTTGATGACGAGCTGCCTGAGCTTGAGGATGTTGTGCCCATCAGTACTGACATAAGTGGCCGAAGCCCCACCTCTAGTCATCACAACGCACCACTTGTTGCCGTTGGGGTAGACCACGAAATTAGCCCCTGGGTACTTGGCCGTGCCGTTGATGACGAGCTGCCTGAGCTTATGGATGTTGTGGCGGTTGACTGCCTCGGGGAAGGTCAGCAGCTGCGCCATGTGCATGGGCACCGCCACCTGGGGGGGGAAAAAGGGGGCGAGGGGGGGAACGGCTGTTGATGACGCGCTGCCTGAGCTTGTGGATGTTGTGGTGGTTGACTGCCTCAGGGAACGTCAGCAGGTGCGTGCGCCATGTGCATTGGGGACCGCCACCTAGAGCAGTTGATAGGGACATGCGTTGGAAGGGAGGGAAGGGGGAGGCGCAGTCTGATCTAGGGATCGGGAGAAAGATGGTTCAACTGATCTAGGGGTCGGGATGGTTTCACACCCACCTCATCTTCAGGTTGGGGTCGGGAGAAAGATGGTTCTCCCACTCAAGTCCACCCGCTTCCCCAACAGGTTCTGCCGGAACCGCCCCTGCTTGCCCTTGAGCCGCTACCCACCTCTGAGATCTTCAGGTTGGGGTCTGGGGAAATGACGGTTCTCCCACTGAAGTCGACCCTCTTCCCCGACAGGTTCTGCCTGAACCGCCCCTGCTTGCCCTTGAGCCGCTGCACGAAGCCACGCGTCGGCTTGGTGGGCTGTGCTGCTAGGGGCAACCCGGGGAGCTCTGAGTTGATGTAGAGGCCGACTTGCAGCTGCAGGAAATCCCAGTTCTCCTGTTGGGAGAGGAGGGACGGAGTGGGGAGGGGGGGTAGGGGGCACAAGAGAGTGGTAAAGGTATGTTACAGGGCAGCACTGCCAGGGGTAGAGGTACACGGGAGCTGCAGGGGGGCTGCAAGGGGGCTGCAAGGGGGCTGCAAGGGCTGCAAGGAGGCTGCAAGGGCTGCAAGGAGGCTGCAAGGGCTGCAAGGGGGCTGCAAGGGGGCTGCAAGGGGGCTGCAAGGGCTGCAAGGAGGCTGCAAGGGCTGCAAGGTGGCTGCAAGGGCTGCAAGGGGGCTGCAAGGGGGCTGCAAGGGCTGCAAGGAGGCTGCAAGGGCTGCAAGGAGGCTGCAAGGGCTGCAAGGGGGCTGCAAGGGGGCTGCAGGGAAAGTGCTCCCTACACCTGGTCATCCGTAAACCCCCAACCATAACCCATAGTCTCCTTAAACCCCTCAAATAAACCCCTGACTCACCACGAGGTTGGGCATGGGCAGCCCCTTCTGAATGCCCAGTCTGAGCGTGCTGTTCACTTCGATAATCACCGCCAGCTTCATTATCGTGTCGTCCTCGTTGCTCCCCACACCTGCTCCCATTTCTAAACCCCCAAACCCTAGCCCCGAAACCCCTTAAACCCCTATATCCCCACTCACCACGAGGTTGGGCATGGGCAATCCCTTCTGAATGCCCAGTCTGAGCGCGCTGTTCACTTCAATGATCACGGCCAGCTTCATCGTCGCATCGTCCTCGTTGCTCCCTGCAGCCGACTCCATCACCACTGATGGTCGGATGGCCACTGGGGGCACTGACAGGTGCGTCACGATCAGGCGCTCGGGGCGGTAGTAGAGATCCAGCAATTCACAGTCCTGGGGTAGGGACGGGTGGGGAGGGGTGGCGAGGAGTGGGGAGGGGTGGGGGGAAGTGGAGAAGAGCAGGGACGTGACACATGGCCGACTCCATCACCACTGACGGTTGGATGGCCACTGGAGGCACTGACAGGTGCGTCACGATCAGGCGCTCAGGGCGATAGTACGGGTCCAGGAGCTCGCAGTCCTGTGAGTGGGGGGTGAAGGGGTGGGGCGGAGTGGAGCAGAGTAAGGGCACGGCTGACTCCATCACCACTGACGGTCGGATGGCCACGGGGGGCACTGACAGGTGCGTCACAATCAGGCGTTCGGGGCACTGGTACAGGTCCAGGAGCTCACAGTCCTATGAGTGGGGGAGGGGGGAAGGGGGGAAGGGGGGGAGGGGGGGGGTGGGGGGGAAAGGAAATATGGAGCGGAGTGGAGCAGGGGATGGGCACTGCTGACTCAATCAACAGCGGATGGCCACTGGGGGCACTGGCAAATGCGTCACGATCCGGCGCTCGGGGCAATAGTAGAGGTCCAGGAGCTCGCAGTCCAAGAGCATGCGGTCCTGGGAGGAAAGAGGGGGAGAATTGGGATGGGCAGGGAGAGGATGAGTCCTCGCTCCCCGCGCCTGAATCCATCACCATTGAGGGTCGGATGGCCACTGGGGGCACTGACTGGTGCGTCACAACATGGCGCTTGGGGCGACAATACAGGTCCAGCAAGAGGGGAATGAAGGGGTGGGTGGGGTGGACCGGCGGACCAGTCAGCGGACCGGCGGATCAGGCAATGGACCGGCGGATCAGTCAGTGGACCGGCGGATCAGTCAGTGGACCGGCGGATCAGTCAGTGGACCGGCGGATCAGTCAGTGGACCGGCGGATCAGTCAGTGGACCGGCGGATCAGTCAGTGGACCGGCGGATCAGTCAGTGGACCGGCGGATCAGTCAGTGGACCGGCGGATCAGTCAGTGGACCGGCGGATCAGTCAGTGGACCGGCGGATCAGTCAGTGGACCGGCGGATCAGTCAGTGGACCGGCGGATCAGTCAGTGGACCGGCGGATCAGTCAGTGGACCGGCGGATCAGTCAGTGGACCGGCGGATCAGTCAGTGGACCGGCGGATCAGTCAGTGGACCGGCGGATCAGTCAGTGGACCGGCGGATCAGTCAGTGGACCGGCGGATCAGTCAGTGGACCGGCGGATCAGTCAGTGGTCCGGCGGATCAGTCAGTGGTCCGGCGGATCAGTCAGTGGTCCGGCGGATCAGTCAGTGGTCCGGTGCACCATTGGAGCAGTGGACCAGGGGTCCAGTGGACATCAAGTGACAAACCCTTGAGTTGAGCCTGCATGCACCAGCCACCTGGACTATCCTCCAGAGTATATCAAGGCCCAAGTCATTCTCCTGTCCCTGTGGACCAGTGGTTGAGGCCATCCTCCTGGCCATCCTCCACCGCCGCCTCCATGCACAACGGGCGAAACACACACTTGCCCCATCCACCACCCTCACCTCGTCCAACATCCGTTCGAACAGCCACAGCACCCGCACGGGGTTGAGGTCGTCCGCCACCTTCTGTGCATGCTGCGCTATCTCCTTATTCGCCTCCACCGCCGCCTCCATGCGTCTCACCACCTCGTCCTTGGCGTCCAGGTCCTTGCCGTACTTGTCGTGGGACAGCTTTAATGTGCCGGTCAGCTTCTTGACAGTGCCTGCAAGATGTAGCGTTCACAAGGGGCTCAGAGTTAGGTTTAGGGTCACCCGAGGCACAGCTGCTGTTTGCTGCAGTCTGCCTCCATGCTTCTCCCCCCCTCGTCCTCGGCGTCTAAGTCCTTGCCCCCCTACTATACCCAGACCCCAGTTTTTGAGTCGACTCAAAAGCGTCTCCCCCTTCGTCCTCGGCGTCTAAGTCCTTGCCCCCCCATAATACCCGGACCCCAGTTCTGCATGCTCACTGTTGTTGTCCCTCTGCCCCCCTACAACACACACAGCCGTAGTATGCTCACCGTTGTTGTCCCCGCAGTAGTGGCACATTCTAGTTCTCTTTCACTTCTCCACCACTCGCTTCACCATCGCCTTCTTCTGCAGCACCATCACTCGCGAGTGCCGGAACTAGAGTGTGCATGCATGGCGCACCACCCACTTCTTACTTTCCCCCCTGCGATACACATGCACGCACGCTCACCGTTGTTGTCCCCGCAGTAGTGACACATCCGTGTGCGTTTGCACTTCTCCGCCACTCTCTTCACCATCGCCTTCTTCTGCACAGCACCTCCACCCACGGGTGCCGGAGCTAGTGAGTGCGCTAGCCCCTTCTCTCTCCCCCCCCAATGCATACTCTCACAGCACATTCTCACCGTTGTTGTCCCCGCAGTAGTGGCACATTCTGGTCCTCTTGCATTTCTCCGCCACTCGCTTCACCATCGCCTTCTTCTGAAGTACCTCCACCCGCGGGTGCCGGAACTAGTGAGTGCATGCATGGGGTACCACCCCCGTCTCTCTCCCTGCCTATGATGCACACATAGCACATGCTCACCGTTGTTGTCCCCGCAGTAGTGGCACATGCGTGTCCGTTTGCATTTCTCCGCCACTCGCTTCACCATCGCCTTCTTCTGCAGCACCTCCACCCGCGGGTGCCGGAACTTCTTCAGCCACTGCCGGCGCTCCTCGTCACTCAGGAGAATGCGCGAGCAGTTCTGCATGCCATGCGATGGGATGGGATGGGATGGGATGGGACCGGCACGGGATGGGATGGGACCGGCACGGGATGGGATGGGACCGGCACGGGATGGGATGGGATGGGATGGGACTGCACATGGGCATGAGCCGAGCCTGGCTCGACTCGGCTCGTTTGGGGTCGAGCCGAGCCGGCTCGCCTCGAGCCGGGTCCTCAGGATCCCCAGCTCGGCTCGTCAGGGGGGCTTGTGCGGGCTCTCAATTGAGGCCACGGGGTTTGGGGTCGCTAGTCCGGGGCTTGGTCCAGATTGTTGAGCTGATCGTCTGCTTCTACATCTTACAAAACTCTCAGGAGGTGCTGTTGGAGTAAATAGGGCTGGCTGAGGGCGATAGATTAGGGCAACAGGGTGAGGTTAGGGTTGGCAGACGAAATCGGCGTGGGAGGTTTGTCGATCTGAGATTTGACAATTGCGAAACCCCCCCTTTCCCGAGCCGCGAGCCGGCTGGCTCGAAATCGAGCCAGCACGAGCCGGCTCGACTCCGGCTCGCCTGATTTCACGTGCGCGAGTCGAGCCGAGCCGGCTCGGCTCGAGTCGAGCCGGGTACCAAAAAAGAAGGAGCCGAGCTGAGCCAGGTGTGGCTCGGCTTGTGCCCACGGCACGGGATGGGATGGGATGGGACCGGCACGGGATGGGATGGGATGAGTGTGGGAGGACATGGAGCAAGGTGCAGTGAGGAAGCGCCACGTGCTGTCACAACCACGCACTGCCGGCGCTCCTCGTTGCTCAGGAGAATGCGCGAGCAGTTCTGCATGGCACGGGATGGAATGTGATGTGTGTGGGAGGACAAGGAACAAGGTGCTCCCCTTGGTGTGACACATGCAAGTGCAGTAAGGAAGAGACACATGCTGAGACAAGCCCGCACTGCCGGCGCTCCTCGTCACTCATATGTTACGCAGCGGTTCTGCCTACATGTTTGACGTTCAAAAATAAGCAGGGGAACGGCCCAAAGACGCACCTTGCAGATGTACTGCAGCGTGCGCAGAATGACTTTGAAGTACCCGATGTGGTACACAGGCAGCTCGGCCTATGTGCTAGAAACTGTTAAACCAAACAGTGAGCAGGGGAAACGTCCAGCATCCCACCTTGCAGATGCACTGCAGCGTGAGCAGGATGACTTTGAAGTCCCGAATGTTGGACACAGGCAAACAGTTCGGCCTATGTGCTAGAAACTGTTACATTAAAGAGCGAGCAACCGACCTTCCAGCGCGGGCACCCCACGCACCTTGCAGATGCACTGCAGCGTGAGCAGGATGACTTTGAAGTACCCGATGTGGTAAACAGGCAGCTCCAGGCGGATGTACCCAAAGTGCCCTGCGCAGTCCTGCAGCGTGCCGTTGCACGTCGTGCATTCGCCCTTCTTGTTTGTCGTTCCCTGTGAGCGGTTAGGGTTAGGGGACGCAGAAAGGGCACTTGGGTGTGAGTCGGGTGTGTTATTAGCTGTTGATGGCTCCAGGCGGCTGTACCCAAAGTGCTCTGCGCAGTCCTGCAGCCTGCCATTGCACGTGCTGCACTCTCCTCTCTTGTCCGTCGTTCCCTGCACAGCGTTGGCAGGAGTTGGTGGGGGAGGGGGTTCACACTCGTATGCACACAGCACCTTGCCGTTGCCCGTGCTGCACTCTCCTCTCTTGTCCATCGTTCCCTGGTCGTGGTTGGGGGGACAATGAGGGAGGGTGTGGGAGGGGGGAAGAGGAGGGGGGGGTTCAGAAATGTGCACCCACACAAGCTCGACGTTGCTGTGCCAAACTGCTATTATCAGCCTTGCATCAAGTCCACTCACCAGCCTTGTATCGACTCCACTCACCAGCCTTGTATCGAGTCCACTCACCAGCCTTGTATCGAGTACACCAAACGGTGTGGGTTTCCTCTCTGGCAGCTGGTACAGGCTCCTCTCCGATATCTGCACCTCCGCGCTCTTCATGATCTCGTGCGCGCTCATGGTGCTGAACCGCACGCTCTTGCTGAAGGGGGTGAGGGAGGGGGAAGGAAGAGCGATTAGGCGAGGGGAAAGGTGAGGGGATCAGGGGATACAGGAGATTTGCGCCTCCGCGCTCTTCATGATCTCATGGGCACTCATGGTGCTGAAACGCACGCTCTTGCTGCTAGGGGTTTGAAGGGGATGGGGAGAGTGGGGGGAGGCGTGGATTGGGAAGGCAATGAGTCATAGCAGAGCAGTCATTATAAAGCAGTGAGGCTCCTCTCTGATATCTGCATCTCCGCGCTCTTCATGATCACATGTGCACTCATCATGCTGAACCGGACGCTCTTGCTGCAGAAACAGGGGGAAACGCATTTGGGGGGGGGGGAGGGGGGGGAGGGAGGGGGGGGGACATATCTGCACCTCAGCGGCTTTTATGAACTCGTGAGCACTCATTGTGCTGAACCGCACGCTCTTGCTGCCAGAGATTGAGGAAAGTGGGGTGGTGTGGATTGGGAAAGCAATGGGTGACAGCACTCGTCATGGGGTACTGAGGCTCCTCTCTGATATCTGCACCTCCGCGATCTTCATGATCTCGTGCGCGCTCATCGTGCTGAACCACACACTCTTGCTGTAAAGGAGGGGGGGGAAGGGGGCAGGAGGAACAACGGACAGAGGGACAAGGGGAAGCCATCAGGGGCCCAAGGAGATCTGCACCTTAGCACTCTTCATGATCTCATGAGCACTCATCGTGCTGAACCGCACGCTCTTGCTGCAGCGACAGGGGCAAACGCATTGGTGGGGGGGGGGGGCAACTCTGCACCTCCGCGCTCTTCGTGATCTCATGTGAGCTCATGGTGCTGAACCGCACGCTCTTGCTGGGAAGGTTGGGGAAACGCGGGATGGGAGGTCACCGGGAAAGGGGACGGGGCTATCGGAAACGCGGAATTTTGCACCTCCGCACTCCTCATGATCTCCCTCCCACCACCTACATTTTCCGCGGGCGTTTGTCTTCCATCACCGGCTCCTTGGTGAACGTGATCGCCGCAGGTGTGGGATCCGCCGCCCCCCCCTGCAACGGCCCGCCTCCCCTTCCCCCTCCGCCTCCCCCGCGCCCTCCCCCCGCCTGCACCGGCCCCCCTCGCCCTCCCCCCCGCCCGGCTCCTCCTTGCATCGCCATCCCCGCTCCCGCTTCCCCCCTTCCCCCCTCTTCGTCTCCCCTTCCCCCCTTCCTGTTTCCTCTTCCTTCAAACTCGCCGCAACTAACCCCTTCCCTTGCCTTCACCGTGCGTTCCCCCTTTCCTGATTCTCCTCCTCCGCCTACGCTACCTCTTCCCTTGACTCTCCCGGCTACTATCACCAAACTCGCCGCAATCGACCCCTACTCGCCGCAATCGACTCCTACTCGCCGCAATCGACCCCTACTCGCCACAATCGACCCCTACTCGCCACAATCGACCCCTACTCGCCGCAATCGACCCCTTCCCCTTGCCTTCACCATGCGTTCCCCGTTTCTTTACTCCCCTCCTTCGGCCACCTCCTCCCTTTGCTCTCCCTGCTACTAGGACCTACCACCACACACGCGTGCTCATGAGGCGGCCCATAACCTGGTAACCTAAAACCCTTGTAACCTCATAACATAACCTCAAACTCTTGTAACCTCGTAACCGCTTTCTAATTATCTAAACACGGTCAGGTACGGGTCCTGGTGTTTAGGGCTGGTAATAGTCGCTTTCTAAGGCCGAAGCTTCTGACGCGTCACGGGTGTATGCCTGAAACTTTAACGCGACTGCTCGCGAGTTAGCATTAACGGCACGCCACCGTAAGCGCGAGCGTGAGGGTATCGGAACGGGTATGCTTTGAATTCGACTCTAAAGCTTTCAGCTGTTGTCAACAGGCGGAACAAAGGCTCGGAAGCTCAAAAGGTCAAGAGCTCAAATCAGAACGCGGATGCTTTAAATTCGACCCAAAGGCTCTAGACTGTTGACAGTAGGGAAATGCGCAAGGATTAGGTCAGCGAGAACTATGGCGGCCAGAGAGAGTTGTCTATCCACCCTGGGAAAGCTTGACTTGGCTGGCTGAAAACAAGCAACAAAACGACCAGGCAGGAGTTGATCCTGCAAATCTTTGATCACAAGATAGATTGAACTTAGGACGTCGAAACTAGAGCTCATTTCGAGGATTGTTCTACAATCCTAGAGCTGTACAAGCAGGTTACCTTGATGTTACAGACGTCAAAATTTGAGCAGGTTACTGAACGGAATAATTGCGATTCGGATATTTGTCGAAAGCAACCGAACGCGCCAGCTGTCCAGATTGGAAGTCTGGTTTTTTTGTTACAGTTTGTCGTGGTTGGTGTTGGCGACATTTTGGCATTGTTGAGTGTGCCATACGACTGCAGTGCCTGCAAAATTGGAACAGTTCCCAAAATGGGGGGGATCATTTCGGGGCTAGGGTGGCTGCGATCCCAGACCGTTTTGAAAATGGTCCCCATAATCGTTCAACACCCCCCCAAACTTACAAATGAGCCGTAGGTTTCACGTCCTCTTTTTTGTGCTACTAGTCCTGCCAAAATTGGTGAATGTCAAATCTATGTAAAATTACAGTAATGAAGTTGTGCATTCAACTACAAGAGCAGTCGCCTCTGTAACGTGTCCGGAACATCCAGCAAACCATCAGCACTTCTCCTCACTACTGTCACAAAAACCATCCCTTTCCATTCTCGTCCAATTTGTCACACAAAGACCTGATGCGCAAGTCCTGGCCCGTGAGCTTGCAGAAGACGATGAGGATGAGATGAGACGTCGATGAGGATGATCAGGATTGAACCAGGGGGGGGGAGGGAGGGGGGGAGATACTGTATGACCTGACAAGAGGCGAGGAGGGATGTGGTATGAAGCGGATTGCCGTATGGGATTAATAGGTATGCCCTATGCTACTGCATGAGCTGAGCATAGCAACATGATGCACTGCAGCTACTACACGCAATTCCAAATTCCAATGTTATAATCGACTCACACATCATATGGAATTTCTGTCAACTTATACATATGTGCAACAGCTACGGCGGCAGTACACTCTGCTACAGTTTCTTCAGTGCCTGCACCCGTGCCGTCTTGCGGCATGCTTTTGCGTCTTGGTCTTTGTTTTTTCTTTGATCGCAAGTGCCTTGGTCAGCAGCTTCAGCTTTCGCCTTGTCTTGGCCCGTCGCTCCGGTGCGCCCTTGTTCCTGCTAGGATATGTGTGGGTGAACGGGCATGGGTGCACTGGGGGGTGTGAGCGTGTGCAATCATAGCAGCAAGCCTCACAGGTCTAGCCAGTTACCTCTGATCGCCAGTGCCTTACACAACAACTTGTGCTTCTCCTCGTCTTGACCCGACGCTCTGGCGCACAATTCTGCCTAGGGTGGGGGAGTAGTGCGATTGTAGGAATTTAAGCATACAGTAAGTGTGATTGTACAAGGCAGAGCAGGAGTGTAGAGTTAGTGTGAGGGTGATATGGACAAGATGAGGAGTGAGACAGAACGGAAAGGGAGGGGAGGGAATGTTTGCTAGCTGAAGGAACGATTTTTTCTCTTGATAGGGAATATTTGCTCTTGTAACCTCGTCCTTGCCATATTTGTCGTGGGATAGCTTCAGGGTGCCTGTTAGCTTCTTCACAGTCCCTGCCCGATGGGGGGTTAAGGGTTCAAAGATATGGGTTACACGCTAAAGGGGATCAAGCTGCCTGCCTCCACGCGTCTACCACCTCGTCCTTCACGTACTTGTCGTGGGACAGCTTCAGGGTGCCCGTCAGCTTCTCCACAGTCCTTGCCAGATGGGGGGTTGAGGGTTCAAAGATATGGGTTACATGCTAAAGGGGATCAAGCTGCCTGCCTCCATGCGTCTGACCACCTCGTCCTTGGCGTACTTGTCGTAGGACAGCTCCAGGGTGCCCGTCACCTTCTTCACAGTCCCTGCCAAATGGGGGGTTGAGGGTTCAAAGATATGGATTACACGCTAAAGGGGATCAAGCTGCCTGCCTCCATGCGTCTGACCACCTCATCCTTGCCGTACTTGTCGTGGGACAGCTTCGGGGTGCCCGTCAACTTCTTCACCGTTCCTGGTAAGTGGGCAAACGGGTTGGGAGGGTCAAGGCTTGAGGTTTAGGGTCACCCGAAGCACAGCTGATGCCTGCTGCATTCTGCCTCCATGCCTCTCCCACCCATCCTCGGCGTCTAAGTCCTTGCCCGGACCCCAGTTTTTTAGTCAACTCAGAAGAGTCTCTCCCCTTTCATCCTTGGCGTCAAAGTCCTTGCCCTAACCCAATACCCTGACCCCACTTCTGCATGCTCACCGTTGTTGTTCCTGCAGTAGTGGCACATTCTGGTCCGTTTGCAATTCTCCGCCACTCTCTTAACCATCGCCTTCTTTCTGCAACACCTCCACCCGCGGGTTTGGCAAGATGATTCACGACCTGCAGGACAACTTCCCACAGGTGTCCAACTGGAACCTCATCAAGACGCACCTTATCAGTCACTACATCGACTCGATTAGGCGGGCTGGCCTTCCCGAAAATTACTACTATTTGAGCACTTGCACATCGAATACATCAAAGATCTGTACAGGGCATCAAACAAACGTAACGTTACTGCACAAATCATCAAGGCCGATGAGGCACTGCTGCGTCTGCGATAACTAGCACCTCTGCAAAGCAAGACGAAGAAGTACGATACGGCAATGGTTAAGGTATGTTAGTAGGAAACTCCCTCAAGTTTGTTGCCGTAGCATCAATTCATCTGGCTAATGCATGGATTGTAACCGTCTTGCAGGCCCAACATCTAAACCGACGGGTCATGTCACGGCGGAGTTGGCGTCTGTACGTTCCGCAGGGAAGAGAGAGTGTGCCTTCTATATTTCCGTGTGCTCCAAAGCAAAGCCAGGATGGACCACTCCTCGACGCAATTGGTGAGGATTGCACACACCTTGATGCGGCTCTAGATGAAGCGCTAAAGACACAACTGCACCCTGACCGAGTGGAACACATCAACGTAAGTAATTGCCATTACTCTGACGTCTACCTACATGCGGATTGCATACTATTGCCCATCTCTCCAATCATGACACGTCCTATGCCCTCCCACAGTTGTCGTGCACATCCACTGGGAGCTAGCAATGCCCGCGGCCATCAATGCAGCGTATGGTCGACTACCTCACCGGATTTGGGCGCGCCCGTGCCATCATGGGCGAGACTGGTTCTCAAACATTGCTATTGATGGCCAGAACGTGTACGGCGAGAGCGAGGAGTGGTTTGGACGTGTCTTGCTGCTATTTCACATATGACGAGGCAGCAAAAACAAGGAGTATGTGTTCATCAAGTATTACAAGGCGCAGCGATACCTGGATCGAAAAGCGCAGTGCACGATACTAAAGTGGGAGACGAATGCACAGAGATATAGGGTCGTGGACACCATTAGTATCAAACGAGCTGTGTTTCTAGTCCATCCAAAGAAGAACCAAGAGAGATGGCTGGTGAATCATTTTATTTTCTAGAGGAGTTGTAAGGTTTGATTGTGTTCCAAGATATCATATTGTCGCTTACTGATATGGGTGATAGTCTATGGGTGCTTTTGGCACACCACCGCTTTGAAACTCAGTAGTTTGTGCAAAGCAACCGATTCAGAGAGCCCGTCTAGCATTCTCGGGATCCTAAATGGCCCAAAGCAGAGGCAGCAAAAATGGAGCACATGTCAAAGACCATGCTTTACCATACGTAGTTAGGTAACATGCAGTATCAATGCAATGGCTCGTAGCGTAAACAAACGCCATGGTTGCATCAAAGGTACCGAAAACACCACATCGCTGCAAGGATGGGTCCAAATCCTCCTCCCTGGACCGTCCGTTGCAGAGCCATACATGGTATACGCTGAGGATCTGGTGAGTTCTAACCACAGCAAAGCAAACGCTTGTACAATGAGACAACCACCTGATTAATTAGAGTAGCTCCGGTTTGCAATAGCGGCTCATGTGGGGTCCTCCTTGCCAATCCTTGATCCTCACTCAATAGACGCCACTAGTACACCCAAAGTCCAAGATTCGCGATGCTAACACTCTATGAAGGCAATGGAGGGAGCTGCACATTGATGCGCGGGCAAGCAATTTCATTTGAGTTGTATAGTGACAGCTGTGGCATAACACGGGATATACACTTCAAGTTACTCCTCTTATGAAAGCCAGAGGCACACCAATGCACTGGCACTCTGACGATGACAGGCAAGGTGTGGTCGCATGGAGTGCAGCCTGGTTGAGTTATGCGACCACTAGGCTTCTTGCAACGTGCTCCACCAAAGTCGTGTCGTCCTAAGGTGTGACGTGACACTCTCGCGAAGGTTGAACTTGTTGCAGGCCGTTTTATTTCCGTTTCGCATGATGCAATACAGCTCCACTCTGGGCCATCTATTCCAACCCCCTAGCAACAAAGCCTTTATTAGAGCACGGGTTGCTACCCTAATTTGGTGCCAGGATAGACATGAATAGCGGATAATGCCATTTCGTTGCTATTGCATGTATTGTCCGTTGTTTTGGTAGTATCCAATGCCTATTGGGAGACAATATCTTCGTACTGTCTGCGGATCGACACATTTCAATCAGTGAACTTGTCGTCCGCGTCGCTTGATTTTCTCAAAGGGGTAAATTGAAGCCAGGATAGACGCAGCTAAGAGATAGCAAGTACTTGTTGTTATTGCTTGTTTTTTTCCATGGTTCTAAGTGACCGAGGCCATCTGGTGGAGAATGCTTACATCGTACAAAACTTGTAAACAAACCCCCCAAGATGAACTAGGAAAGGCGTACTGCCCAACTTTCGTCTCTAAGAACAATGATAATTCAATCAAAGGTAGGCCATGTTTAGGGCCCAAGACACAGTCCATCTCATGCCTCGCAAAACAACGCGCAGCAATGATGAAATGACGTATCGTTCTTTCAAGAGGCAAGGTTACTCCAGAATAACCCCAACGGATATTCCACAAGCCTTATTGCCATATTTTGGTGAACCTAAAGGGCTCAAAATTGAGTCAAATGAGAGACAAGCTTACGCTACACCCCAATCATCTCAAACCTCTCAAGAAGGACGCAATAGTAACGCAATGGCACAAGCTTTTCCTATCAAGGGGTGAGGATGCTCCAAAACACGGTTATGGATATTGGATGAGTCATGCTGCCCAACTCGTTAAACCAAAAGAACTGAAATATTATGTGCTGGTAGGCCGTGCGCATGAAGACCGGGGGGATTAGTTCAGGTATCGTTTAAAAAGATACAAAAATACAAGATGGACTCTCGACTCCTGGATTTTTTTATAGTTGGGTTGCTTTTCGACGGTCAAGGCGCGTCGTGCAACGCAATTCGATCCAGGTGTATACACGTCAGGGGTTAGAACGCCCAGTAGGGTGTTACAAGCCAAGTGTTAATCTCAGGAAGCCACCATCGCAATAATATAGTGTTGCCGTGTGGGGTCCCATGCTAAAATAGCAAACCCACTTTCCCATTGGGGCCAGCTTGTACTAAAAAAAAATGGCTAGCTCGCCATGCGCCTAGGCTGCTAGCTTGCCATGCGCCCATGCGACTAGCTCGCCATGCGCCTAGGCCGCCAGCTCGCCATGCGCCTAGGCTGCTAGCTCACCATGTGCCTAGACGGCTAGCTCCCCATGTGCCTAGGCTGATGGCTCGTCATACGCCTAGGGTGCTGGCTAGCCATGCGCCTAGGCGGCTAGTAGCACGCCATGCGCCGAGAAAGGTAGATCATCGTACGCTTAGGAAGCTGGGACGTCACGCGCTGAGGCAGCTAGTACGGCCAGGCAGCTAGCACGCTATGAGGGGGACGACGCGAAGAGAGGTTGACCCAATGCTGCTTGGAGAACGGTGCGTACACAAGTAAGTTCATGTCTCTTGTGTGTCTAATTCGTCCTAGTTGCTTCTAATAAGCCACCTAGAAGCAACGATCGTGACCAACTAGAAAACACACTTGCCCCGCTCGCTTCGGCGATTGAGAGTCGTGCAAACGACCCTATGCGCTCTGCAGGTCACCTCTGTCAATTGCACGTCGCACTCGTCGTTGTGACCTCAAAACCGGGATTTCGCTTCAAGAACAAAATTTTATGTAGTTGTGCGTGTCCAATTGCGTGCTATGAGCGAGTCCTCTTAATTTTGCGCCAATCACGCGCAAGCATCACTTTTTCTTATGCATGCCACATGCACTTTCGGAACAGTGTCGTTTCGGACGAAAAACAGGGGGCCACAACACTTTGACGATTTTTGCAGCTCTCACTTTCAATTTGGGCCTGCCTTTGCTATTGTAGCTTTGGGCTTTAACAAACGCATCTCACCGGACATTGGGTGGTTTCTAGAGGACTGCACGGGTATGAGACCAAAATGGAACAAGAAAGCAACATTCGCCAATAAGTACTAGCTTTCCGATAATATAAATGGGAACATATCATTATTGCAGCCTAAATCACTAGCAATAAATGTATGGCAGCTCTACAATCATATGTATAAAAAAGGGAAAGTATATCGGTGCTCAATATTAGGGGCCTCGATAACATGTACGGTCAGTGACACAATATAAAGAGTCAGAATTAGCGGTGGAACCCGACTGATAAAACATGTTGCGAACTAGCTAATTCTGATTGTTTATACCGTGTCACTGACCGTACATGTTATCGAGGCCCCTAATACTGTGCACCATTGTAACCCTTTTGTTTGTTGGTTTATTGTGTGTGTCACTTTTGGCAATATGAGGGTAAGTACTAAGGGAAGGTCTGCCAATTGAGGAGGATAGGGAAAGGAAGGATGGAAGGACACCCGCGGAAAGGTATGCATTCACAGTACCCAATGCTATCTCGTTAGCTTTTTAACCCTAGACATGCAATCGCCAGCTTGCAAACGTGCAGTGTAGCAACATGGCAAAAGCCAGTGTGGAAGGTAAGCGCTTGTAGGTAGACATGGTTAAATCGCATCGCATCATGTTATATCGCATTTTGCGATAGCATTTTTTTTTTCGAAGTTATGCGATGCGATAATATCGTGCGATATTGCATTTTTTTTTGCGATAAATTTTGATATGCGATAAAAAAAAATCGCGAGCGATTTTTCCGCGTATCGCAACTCGAAATTGGCAGATTTGGTGGGGAGGGGGGGGGGGGAGGTGGGGGGGAGGGGAGGGGGAACGTAGCCCAAAAGGGCTGCGACCAATTCTCTTTGAGAGAAACCCCACCCCAACAAATTCCAAACTCGTTTCCCACCTCCCCACTCCCATTTCCAAGCTTCCATGCAAGCTCACCTTGCAAACCCTTGGAAGGAACTCCCTTAGCCACAAAGTCACGCCTCCACTCCCCCATTCCTAAGTGAGCATAGATAGAAGCAACAATTTAAACTCCTAGTCTAGGTACCTCCCTAAACTACTTAGGCTCAAATCCACACCTAGGGTGTCGTTCTCCTTTCGTCGCGCCGTTTTTGCTCGTACGGACCGCACCTTCCCCGACGTGCGGGGTTTAGGCGCCATCGCGTAGCATCGTCCATGTGGCACGCGAGTGTGACGGCAACGGCTAGGGGGTTTAGGGTTTATCATATATTGCCCTTTTCAGAGCTGTTTTCATTGCTAATCCGACCATCGGGCGTGCCCTGCCGTAGGGTTTTAGTCCAGAGGCTCCAAATCCACGCCCATAGTTCGACACAACCTTCTTAGCTTAGCCCGTAGGGTCTAGGGGGGTTTTTGCAAGTAGGATTTGGGGCGACAATGGGTCCGCGTGCTCGCGGTCCACGCGGTAGGGCAGGGCGGAGCGGCGGAGGGCCTAGTCGGGGTGCGGGGGTTGAGGGGAGGGGGCGCTATGGCGGCGCCACCGGGATGACGACCGTTGAGGCGCGAGCTCAGCGCAGGTAGCAGGATGATGCCTTGTTTGCAAAGCTCACCTCTGGCTCTGCGTGCACTGGAGCGGATGGCGGAGGGGAGTTGGTGGTTGGCGGCGGTTGCCACGGAACTCAGGGCAGTGCCGCTGGAGGTGCGGGTGCTGCCCCCCAGGTGGAGGGGGTGGTCGTGAGGGTGGAGGAGGAAGACAAGCACGCCTGGCGGCTCCGAGTTGCGACGGATGGGGAAGGGGGGGGGGGGCGGCGGGGCGATGGGCATGCGAGGGTGGGAGGGCGAAGCCGGGGAGGCGGGAGGGGGGGGGGGGGGAGGATGAGGGGGAGGATGATGATATGGGGGAGGAGGAGGAGGAGGAAGCGGAGGAAGAGGAGGAGGAGGAGGAGGAGGAGGAGGAGGAGGGGGAGGAGGAGGAGGAGGAGGAGGAGGAGGGGGAGGAGGAGGAGGAGGAGGGGGAGGAGGAGGAGGGGGATGAGGAGGATGAGGAGTACAACGGGGAGGGGGATGAGGAGGTGGGTGGTGGGGAGGAGGGTGGGGATGAGGAGGTGGGTGATGGGGAGGAGGGTGGGGATGAGGAGGTGGGTGATGGGGAGGAGGGTGGGGATGAGGAGGTGGGTGATGGGGAGGAGGGTGGGGATGATGATGAGGAGGAAGAGGGGAGGGGCGTTGGAGAGGCCTTTGGTGGAGGGATGGAGGGGTCCAAAGGGAAGTGCAAGACTGCAATGGCCTCCCACCTCTCCGGGGGTATGGTTGGGAAGAAGGTTAAGGCGTCAGGGGGGGGGTTGGGGGGGGGGGGCAGACGAGACGGTGCGAGGGAGAGGAAGGGGGAGAGGGAGTGGGCGTGGTAGGGGGAGGGGCAAGGGGAGAGGGAGAGGTGGAGGGATGGCAGGGGCGGGATTGGGAGAGAGGGGGAGGTTCAGGATGTCACCAGGCCATCTACATGCGGATGGTCTGGGGGGGAAGGGTGGTGGTGGCGGAAAGAAGGGCGCTTGAAGGGGAGGCACGGGTGCGAGGAAGGGGGCGGGGTGGTGAGGGGGAGTTGGGGAGATGGCACAGGCCCATGGGTATGCACCAGCTGGGGGAGGGGGGGTGGTGAAGGAAACACCGCGTATTGTGCGGCAGTGCTTTAACACGCAGCCCAATACAGAGTGGAGGCGTTGCAGGAGGTGCAAAGCCCAGGTGAGCTTCACCAAGCGCACCACCCTGAATGGGAAGGTGCACATGCTGCTGCACCACCGCCCGACCTGGGACATCCTTGTCCGCATGCGGCAGTTGGGGGAGATGAAGGTGGAGGATAAGATACTCCGAGGCAAGTTTGGGGTGGAGGGTGAGGTGCCCGACGGCGAGGGTGGGTGGGCCGGATCAGCCATGTGGCCGATCTTGCCTGACGAGAGGGAGGTGACTAGGGGCCCGGTGGGCATGAGGGGCATCAGGCGGTTCTTTCAGAAGCCCATGGACTTGGAGCGGTTCGAGCAGTTACCGGTCGAGTACATTGTGGACACCGGCTCACCATTCAGCACCAACAAGCGAGACACTGTATGTAATACTATCCCCCACCCTCTACAATGCTTGCTCATTCTCGTGGTAGTGAGACTATGCAATGCTTTCATTTTATTGTGAGTCCAGGGCGCCTGTCTCGCACGTTCCAAACCCTTGACTTGCCTCCATTATTCCTGCCCCTGTTGGCTATCGTTCCAGTTCCGCCACATGATGGCCGGGGCTAACCCATGGCTGGGGGAGCCGGAGCCCATTCCATCGCGGCAGAAGTTGGTCTGTATGATCATGCGGCAGGCGGCCAAGGCAACAGAGCTCGCCAAGGCGGAGTTGCGGGCGGACGCGGGCGTGGGGGCCATCTCGGTCACGACGGACATCTGGTCGGTGGAGAACGAGTTGGGGTTCATGGGGATTACCACGCACTACATCGATGTTGAATTCAAGCTGCGACAGGCGACGCTTGACTTCCGACCCTTGCCGGCCAAGCACACAGGAGAGACAGTGGCGAAGATCTTGGAGGAGGTGATTGAGGAGTGGGGGCTGGCGGACAGGTGCATGGCGCTGACCACTAACAACCCATCTGTCAATGGGGCAGCGTTCAACCTTCTGAAGAAGGGTTGGCGGGCAAATGGCAAGGTGCAATTGGTTCCCATCTTTGGAGGCGGCGCGCACGTTTGGTAAGAAAACCATGCCTCACGCTCACCATCTGTGTGTCCATTTTATGGTTTCATTGCGAGCACAAGGGTTTGTGTTTCCCAAGTAATGGCCACCTCACCTCTCCTCCCTATGCTGCAGATGCATCGCACACGCCTGCAACATTGCAGTCCACACAGCGATAATTGGGGTGCCGCAAGTCGACATGCCACTCAGGAAGCTGCGCGGCCTTGCGTCGCGCATCGGCTTCTCGAAGACCAAGTCTGCGGCCTTCGAGAAGGAACAGCGCCACCAAAACCCCACCAAGCAGGCTGTCAAGCTGAAGCAGGACAACCCTGTGCGATGGGGCTCGGCGCATGCAATGATCAAGAGGGCTCTTGATCTCAAGAACCCCATCGTCACCTTTGTCAGTCGTGAGGTGAGCCTTCGCCTGGGTTGGCGTGGGTGTCGTCATGCCGCACATTGAGCGGTCTCTCATAACCTTTGTGATTACAGCATCAATCCGCACTCTCTCTGTGATTACCGCATCAATATGCCCTCCAATCCCCCCATGCCCTATACGGTGCTCACCCACCCATATGCTTTCTCACCCCTGAACTAAACAACTTCATTGTTATTGCACTACCCCCCGCACTCAACCATGCAATAACCAAGGCTGCAATAAGAAGGAACAGCGGAGATAGATGCGAAGCAGATTGGTCAGTGCTGGAGGAGTTGATGACGCTGGCAGCTGAGGGTCATTGTACCCCGCGGTCAGCAGGGTGGTCCCACAATACAACGGATTTCTGGACTGGTTGGAGAAGCAGCAGCAGAATGCAGGGGTAGGGGCAGGGTCGATCATGGGGGTGTGCATTGCCCAGGCATTGGAGAAGATGCTGAACTACTTCTACTCGAGCACCGATGACCTGAACGTGGCGACGTTCCTTGACCTTGCGCTGAAGCTGGCTTGGTTCGACAAACCAAGTCAGGTCGCAGGGAGCACGCGTAAGGTGAAGGAGTTGCCGACAAGTGCGGTATTGACGCTGGTCCGCTCACGCTGGGAGGTGTACAAGAAGGATGCTGGCCGCACGGTTGCAGGTGGCCATGGCGGAAGGGGTTGCGACTGGGGGTGGGGAGGAGGAGGAGGATCATGGAGGGGAGGCGGATGAGGACCTGGGGGTGTTCGCACATCTTAGGGCAGTGCGTGCTAGGCAGACGTAGCAGACCAAGGATGAGATCGAGCGGTACTTGGAGCTCCCCCTCGAGGAGTTGCATGAGTGCCCTTTGCAGTTTTGGTGTTACCATACCGAGCTTCCAGCGCTGCGGTGGATGGCGATGGACTACCTTGCCATCCCAGCCACCTCCGCCCCTTGCGAGCACCTGTTCTCACAGGGCCGCAACCTCATTCACTGGCAGCGGCACCACCTTCGGCACCAACTGGATTGCACGATGCTCAAGTCCTGGATTGCCTCTCACCCGGGGGAGCGCCTTGATGGCTGCGTGGACGACACGGCCATTGATCTCGGCCTGGAGATTGGGACTGGGTTGTGAGGGGTGTTTTCGAGACTTGACATCTGTGTTCTTTATGCCCTGTGAGGGGTGCCTCTCCTGCAGGCATCTCCTACCACTCCCTCCCCCTCCCCCCCCTCCTAAACCACCGAAACAACGTCGGGCGACCATACCACGGTTGCTCGCACTAGTACGCCCCCCCCCCCTCCACTCTCCACCTCCCCCCCCCCCCCCCCCCCCCCCCCCCCCCCTTCCCCTTGGACGATAGTGGGGCTCTCATTCTGCTGGAGCTCGCCATTTTTTTTCGCTGTCTATTTATGAGAACCGTCGTTGTAATTCTGTGTTGTGCCACTTTTTGAAACCATTCCGCAGTTCCGATATAGCTCCCTATCCAAATTGCCACTGTACCCTAATTCTCCTTGCAATGAGCCCCTGGCAATTCGATAAAATATCGCATCGCGCAATACATCGCACTATGAAATGCGATATAAAAATATATCTCGCCAGAACCGCGATATGCGATTTCGTTTTTTTTTTTTTTCGCTGCGATGCGATATCGCATTGCCGTGATAAGTTAAAAAACAATGCGATATCGCATCGCATCGCTTTTTAACCATGTCTACGTGTAGGAAAGTGGCATCTTATGAGGTCATCCAGAACAGAACTCGATCTGAATGTGGAATCTGCTGTGTTCCTTTTACAACCGTTGCCATTTGTTGCAGATGCCATAGCTCAAATACACGCCGACACATACATGTGCATGTTTGGCTTGTCGCCACTTGTATTCCGGACTCGTATTGGTGCTTGAAAAAGACCAAATATTTGAACTACCTGATTAAAGTTTTTTTTTTTTTTTTTTTTTTTTTTTTTTGGGTATTATGTGTAGCCCTAGACATGCTCCAAGGTCCGTACTGCTCCACGTTCGAAATTGCGCCTGTGTGCAACCATTCTCTGGACTGTGCGCTCATCATCTTCCCCTCCCCCTGCATGCCATGTACTCATGACAGGAATGTCTCTACAATGGCATTGGACGACCCCATTTCAGATGCTATTGGGAACCTAACAACACTCACACAACTGTATGTGAGACGATTGCACGGCATGTGGAATGGAATGCCATTATATAGCACTGACATTGTGATTGCCATCGCCATTGCCATTGCCATTGCCATTGCCATTGCCATTGCCATTGCCATTGCCATTGCCATTGCCATTGTCATCACCATTGCTATTGCTGTTACCGTTGCCATTGCTGTTGCTGTAGTGGTTGTTGCGATTTCCAGTGCATCAGAATTGTGTAAATGTGATTCACTCTTCTTTGCATGGCTGACCCATGTCCTGTTTTTCCATCATTACATTGGACCTCGCGGCTCTAGCCACTATCGTTCTACAATCCCCCCTTCCTTGTTGCCAGTCTTACCCTGGCAACCTCTAACCCTACCAAACCACCACCCTCCCATCCCCTTCCACATCCCCCCCTGCCGCATCTACCAACTTTTGGTGTCATAGGCCAAGCTCCAGGTGGCACGGGAGCATTGACAGTGGTAGCTGGATGTGACTGTAGTGTATGGATACATATCCGTCCCTTTTCTTCCCATTCCCCTGCTCTGCTCCCACCTCCTCGTTTCCCCTCCCATCTCTTCCCCATGACTTAGAGATCTTTCTCACATGTTTATCGCCTCCATTCTAGCAACCCTATCCCGCCTTTCCGGCTTGAAGGAGCTGTAAGTAGCATGTACTAACATGTATATAAAACACACACACGCAGGACCTGCACTTGTGTGCCTCCACCATGGCAATAAGGGCACGATGCTTTTGGCAGAAAATGCTAAAAGTTCTAATGCCAACCGTGCTGCACCTTCGTGAAACCCACTGCAATGCATACGACCATGTAGAAACCCTTCAAAAGTTCGAACTGAAGGCCTTTTCAAACCCAAAGCACCACGCCCAAAGCATGTGTTTGAGAGCCTTCTGCCGTATGTCAGCATGAGCACAAGGCGAAGCGAGGATTCCTTGACCCGAGGATCTCCTCCTCGGACCCCAATCAAGGTGGTTCGAGGAATCCTCGTCGAGGAATTTTCTAAAAAATCCCTCCTCGATCCCCGGATTTTGGGGGCGAGGATTGGGATCCTCGCCTCAAGGAAAAAATCCTCGACCCGAGGCGAGGATTCCTTGACATGGGTTGAGGTTGGGGGGGGGTGCTCGGAACACTGATTCCTGCCTTTGTTATTTTGAAAGTGCTCTTCCCACTCTACTCCCCAGGGGTTATAGGCACCCTACCCCCCGGTTTTCGAATTTTACCGTCTCAAGAGAGGGTTGCGATAGTCGTTAGTGACCCCTGGGTTGCGAATTTCGAAATTAACCCCTCAGCAGGGTCTTGCAAAATTCTCAAGTGATCCCTCACCGGGGGAATTGCGAAAGCTGCAATCGACTACGCCGATAGGGTTTGCGAGTTTCGCAATCAAGCCCTCTGGATGGGGTTGCGGAAAACCAGATCTGGTTTTCCAATTTCCGACCCCCCTAGACGCTAGTCGCGCGGCAACAGGTTAAGTATACCTAGGGTTGAGCAAAACCGGGTAAATACCCGACCCGACCTGGTTTTGCCATACCCGACCTCGGGTCGGGTCCGGGTCGGGTATTACATCCCGGTAGGCTTGAGCATGAACCCGACCCGATTCGACCCGCCCCGACTTTGCCCTACCCGATGTTGGGTTCAGGTCGGGTCGGGTCGGGTCAAGTCGGGTCAGAGTTCAGGAAATGTCAATCCGACCCGGGTACAATAGGTCGGGTACTCCCTCACCCGTTTTCGGGTTGGTTCGGGTCGGGTTGGCAGAGAGGCAGGGACGAGTAATAAGTCGACCCGACGGGACGGGTTTTCTCGGTCGGGTCGGGTCGGGTACCAGAGGTTGGGTCGACCCTCCGCAAATGTCGACCCCACCCGTCAAAAAGTCGGGTTCGGGTAAGGTTACCCGACCCGACCCGACCCATTGCTCAAGCCTACATCCCGGACGAATATCCTGACCATGTTCTGGTTGGCGGGTATTTGAATACCCGCCAGGCAGGTCCGGGTATACCCGACCCGACCCGGATTAGCTTAAAAGCGGGTAATGCTACCCATCCATAAAGGAAAGCCTAAACGAGGTCTGATTTTTACACAAACGCATTTTCCTTGTTCGTCTATCTGTCCCCCATGTTTGTGCCAGCAGCGGGAAAATTCTAATCTGGATTTATGTGGGCTTTTAGCCACCACGATACTCCTGTACTTGTCTAGCTTGTTTTGGATTGCGCTAAAAGGCATCAACAAATACCTACTATATGGGGCAGGCACGCAATCCATTCTACGGCTGGTCTCAATCATTGAACAAGCATGGAACCATGTCTGCATGGCCCTATAGCTCAATGCTGGGTGGGTCTAAGCATGGCACAAGCACTGGAATGTATACGATTGGGAAAGCTGTGCAATGGGGCTGTATCCTGGACCCACTCCTCACAACCCCTCGTCGTCACCCTCAAGGCACAGTCCCCCCATGGCCCAATCCAGCGTCGCCACCGGGAGGCTGCCGTCGTCGCGCTGTGCCATCCATGACTTGAGAGTCCTGGTTGCACGCACCAGAGCAGTGCTCAGGCGGTGACGCTGCCAGGTGACCACGTTCCGCCCCTGGCTGAACGCCCACTCGCTCGGTGCCGAGGTTGCAGGGATGGCAAGGTAGTCTCGTGCCATCGCCTGCAACCCCGGGTACGACAAGCGCATGCGCCACCAGACAAGGGGACACTCGTCCATATCCAAACGCGCCTGCTGGAGGTACCTGTCAACCTCGCCCGGCGCGGCCACTCCCGCTCTCGCCTCCACCTCTGCCATCGTTGAGCCCAGCATGTCAAACAAGCACCCCCCACCTCGGGGCCTGGCCACTCCCCTCCCCTCGGCCTGCGCCCCCCCTGTGCTCGTCCCCTCCTGGCCCCCGTCCACTACACACCTGCTCTGCTCGTCTAGGTAGGAATTCAAGCACTTCATGACCCATGTCACCACCTGCTCCTTAGTGACATCGCGCACCACCCTACGCCCCCCACTGGCTTCACCCACTAGCCGCTCAAGGGGCCCCTCCCACCGCTCGAGCTGGAAGTAGAGCTGCTTGAACTTGGGGTCCAGGAATGTGGCCACAGCCAGCTCCACACTGATGCCGTACACATACTTCTTCAGCACCTTTGGAGCTGCCTCCACCATTAGCTTGCACAGCTCCTTGGTCCCAGGGTCGTGGTAGAGACACTCAAGCTCATCCATGAGCAGGTTGTACTACAGCACCATTGCGGCGGCAGTGGGGTACAGCGACCCCTCTGCCGTAGTAGTGATGTCATGGAAGGGCTTGAGGAATTCCACCATAACCTTCAGAGCGTCCCAGCGGGCGTCCGCGAGGCGGATGCGCGCGGCCCGGTCACGTGTCCGCTTGTCGCGCGCCGACTGTGGGATGGGGGAGTGGGGAACAGGAAGTAGCGGAGGGGAAATCTCAGATGTGGGAAGTGTCAGAAGCATGGGCAGCCTTGGGAGGGAGTCGACAAATGGGTGAGTAAAAAAGGCAAGCGGGGTGGTGGCATGCAAAGAACTAGGGAACCATTCATTGATTCCCAAGAAGTACAGCAGGATGGGATCCTCGAGCTTCAGGAAGCACTCCACCATCTCATAGGACGACCCCCATCGCGTGGGGGTATCGTTGATGAGGCGGAGAACGTGCCCGCCCTGACCCGCCAACCACAGCTGCTCGTCCTCAAGCGCGTCCGAGCGCGTCGTGCTCCACCCAATGAACGGCGCAATCTCCCGCATACGCTTGAGCGGCTCGAGGACGGCCGGGAAACCTAGTGCTCCACGAGGTTCAGAATGTGCGCGAGGCACCTGAAAGGGGGAAGTCCATGGAAGCGATAGAGGATTGTAGTCCAAAAGCGAACATGGTGTGGCGTGGCATGGCATGTGCATGGCATTGCCTGGCATGTGCATGTGCATGGCATGGCATGGCATGGCATGGCAGTGCATGGCATGGCATTGCATGGCATGGCATGTGCGTTTGCAGGCATGGCATGGCATGGCATGGCACGGCATGGCATGGCGGGGAGTTGTGTGAGTAAGGCGGGGGCTGCTGGGAGGTGGCGCGAAGTTTCCAACCCTCCCCAATTTGTATCGCGCTGCTGCCGACGGGTAGCAGCGCGACCCAATTTCGGGTCGGGTATACTAGACCTGACTTCGGGTTTTTACCTGAAGTTGGGTATTCAAAACCCGACCCGGCAGGTACCCGTTAACCGCGTCGTCGGGTAGCATTTCGGGTAGCGGGTATTGAATACCCGCCCGGGTAACCTGGACCCGACCTGCCGGGTAATTTTCAGGATTCCCGATACCCGACCCGCCCTAAAAGCGGATTCGGGTAACGGGTACTCGACCTGGGCGGGTAGTTTGCTCAAGCCTAAGTATACCTCACTCCAAGGTTTTTGTTTAAGCTGTTTTAAACCGTAGCATTCGGTGAAATGGGGCCAGCTATCCCTTAGCTAACCGTGATATGAAAAGAGCTTGGCTGATTCCAAAATAATGAATCAGCCAAGTCACAAAATTTCAGTTTATACAGCACAAAAGTGAAGCGAGGGGAAAATCCTCGCGTGGAATCAAAATCCTCGCCCCTCAAGTGCCGAGGAATTGTCGAGTGTTCAAATCCTTGGCAGGGCGGGGCAAGGATTCCTTGCAAGGATTTTTCCCCGAAATCCCACCTCATTGCCCCTGAAATTTCGAGGCCAGCATTTCCGAGGTGAGTAAATCCTCGCCTCATTGGTCACGTCCCGTATGCCATGCCAATGCTGAATCCATTTGACAGCAACACACTATTTAGTGGTTCAGCCAGCATCTATATTGTGTAATACACTCTCATGTGGAGTTCAAAGAGTGGGGCTTGGTGTGGAATGTGTGGTGTAGTATGGGAATCTGTATGGCATTGGGTATTGCCCCATTAGTGTCTGGGTGTTACGAGCAGGCATGAATGTTCTACATCCCTCATTAGATTGGCAAATTAGAAGCAATTCCTCTTCCTATTTCTGCTCATGGGATTCAATTTCAAACTTGGGGTCATAACATCTAGATATGGGCATATTGCATCATATAGAAAAATATCGCATCGCTTTTGTTACATTTTTGCGATTGTGATATTTTTTATGTATATTATCGCACGATGCTTTTATCTAGACATGGGCATGAGCCGAGCCTGGCTCGGCTTGGCTCGTTTTGGGCTAAGTTGGGCTCTAACGCTATTTTGGGCTACGTTGGCATTGCGTAACACATTAACAATTGTTAACGCTAATGAACATTAACGAACGTGCCCTACTAACGCTGAGCAGGTTGGAAAAAAAAAAAAGGGAAAACAAATTGTGAGAAATGTTGTCCTTGAATGGAAAGCCGCGAACCTGACCATCGAAGAATAAGCAGACCCGGTTTTCAACACGGTCTCAACTTCTTCGCAACTCGAATCATTTGCAAATAGTAAATCTACCAGAAGTAGCTCTAAACGATGTCATCTCAATACCATATTGGTCGAAAGGCGTGACGTCTGGCAA